GTGAGATTCCAACTAAAAAAAAAAAAGGCTGTTTCCTGGACAGGTTTCTGTGGAGAAAAGCATTCCCTTGAGAAATGGGGAAAAGAGTGACTGCTAAAAATTTGTATTGGTATTTTTTTGAATCAGAGTCTTACTCTGTCACCCAGATTAGAGTGCAGTGGCACACTCACAGCCGCTGCAGCCTCGACCTGCTGGGCTCAGGCGATCCTTCCACTTCAACCTTCCAAGTGGCTGGAACTACAGGTGTACACCACCACACCCAGGTAGTTTTTTGATTTATTGTAGAGATGAGGTCTTGCCAAGTTGCCCAAGCTGGTCCCCAATCCCTTGGGCTCAGGCAATCCTCTCACCTCTGCCTCCCAAAGTGCCGGAATTATATTCGTGACCCACTGTGCCCAGTTGTATTTGTATTTTTAGGGCATGTCCAAATATGTGGGATGCATGGGATATGTGGGTGCATGGAGTCTTTTAAATGGTAGAAACACATCAATGAATTTCCTGAAGTCCAAGAGAACATTCAATCATTTGTTGAAGAAACAGTAAGTACCTCCTATAGACCAGGCACTGTGTAATAAACCAGGGCTTCATTCTTCCTTTTTGTAAAGCATAAGATGTGTTTTCTGCCCGTCAGAAGTACAGGCTCAAGTGCAGAGATTTTGTCCATGGACACAGCTTTGTTTCAAAATGAAACTGGCCAACATTTAAAAACTGACAGATTTCACACGCAAATCCATATTACTTCTGTCTTTAAAAACATAAATGGAAGCTCTGACTACAGTAGGCATCAGATGCATGTGGCTAGAAGTGAAGAGCTGCTTCCCCTCATCCCTTTTGGCTGAGTGTCCACCACTCCCTTTTGCCCTGCTCCTAGCCTGGAAGTGCCCTCTGGCAACCAGTATGTCCATGTAGTCATTGGAATTGGTCACAGAATAAAAAAGACCACGTACAAGCCTTATTATACTTGTTTTATTATTTATATATTGTTTTATTATTCTTGCAACCCCGGTTGCAAGAATACTCTAGAATTTAAAATATAAAAGTCTTTTTTTTCCAGCAGTGAGAATAAATAATCACTGACTGTAGGGAAGTTTGTCCAAATTTGGGAGATGGTTTGAGAGAGACCATGTTTCAAACACATCAGTGATGAAAAGAGTCATTCCATGAAAAGGAACATGGAATGAGCTCTCCCCTCATTCTCTCAGTGGAGATATTTGGAAGACACACTACTGAGCCAAGTGCAGTGTGGCTAGGTGTCTGAGCTCAACCTGGCTTGGTAACTTCAAAGTCTTGCAGGCAAAGCTGACTGAGAGAATGTCTTCATGGAGTTCTCCGGTAACGCAGACACCCAAGGTCAAGACACTTCCAGAGGAGAAGCCCGTATATCCTTTCACTCCAGGCTCCATAGCCTTTGGCTTTGAGGGAAGCCATGTGGGAGAGACGGGGGCACTTAGGCAATAGGCCTAAAACCCGGTGGGCAAGTCCTGGACTGGAGATGCTGACTGAGGACCTCCCTCGCTGGAACTATAATGCAACTCCACTGAAGGCTCTGAATTTAAAAAAAGGATACCCTTCCCCTACCTTTTTTTTTCTTTCAAAGTAGAGCTTTAAGGAGTAAGGAACAGATGAGGAGGATAGTGGTATTAAGAGGTGATAACAGCCGGCATGGTGGCACATGCCTGTAATCCCAGCATTTTGGGAAGTTGAGGCAAGAGGATTGCTTGAGCCCAAGAGTTCGAGACCAACCTGGGTATAGTGAGACCTCATCTCTACAAAAAGATAAAAATAAAAAAATTAGCCAGACTTGGTGGTGCTCACCTGTGGTCCCAACTTTGGGAGACTGAGGCAGAAGGATCACTTGAGGCCAGGAGGCTGAGGCTGTGGTAAGCTGTGATCATGTCACTTCACTTCAGCCTGGGTGACAGAATGAGGCCCTGACTCAAAAAAAAAAAAAAAAAGATAAGTTTGTCTATTTAAAAAAGATTCCCTGCAATAAATATATTGTGAGCTGTCCTTATAAAGGACAAAAAGTATGTTATGAATAAGAAAGTCACAAAGAAAACTTTGTAGTTACTCTGAGATTGTTTCCAAAAGGCATCCAGGGCAGGAGGAACATTGGTTTGTTGGGTTACCCAGGTGAGGAACTTCACAAAGATTATTAACTGGTGAATTTCATCCTTGTGCATGCATAATCATGTACGTGGTAGAAATTTCACAGCATGTGGCAGCTGTGGGCACATCTGTTGGAGATATAAAAAAATCAGTTTCACAAGCATTAGTTGGAAAAGATGTAGCTTGGCACTAGTTCTGTGAAAGAGCCTTGAGAGTTTGAATTGAATGCAAATTTAATATGCTATAAGTTTAGTGAAATGCTAATCTTCATTCATGGAATAAAAATATCTACTCCTGGGCCCCCTCCCCTACCTTGGGGAGGTGAATCTCCTCTCTCTCTTTCTCTAATTTACTTTCTAAATAAACTATATTTTCCAATCTTAAAAAAAAAAATCTACTCCTGTTGCAAGCTGAGCTGTTTAAATCACACCTGAAGTACTGGTCATTTTAAGAAGGATATTGGAAATAACAGTATTCAGACACTCAAATGCTTGACTGATACAGGGTCCTGTAAAACAACATCTGAAGTTCATGGCTTGAATAAATAAAAGAATGGAAAGAAAGTAGGGGTGTGTATGGCTGTGTGTTGTGTGTGCTGTTGTGTGCTGTTTTCCAGGGAAGAGCAAAAACATTATGAAAATTTCAAGGAGCAAGGTAGATTTTAAATGCCACAAAAATGTGATTGGCTGTAACAACCTATGCTGTTTAAGGGGGGACAGGGCATTTTAGTGGATTAAGAGGGATTCAAGCAGAGGCTGAATGACCCTCTACTAGGGATTTAGAAAAAGAACGCCTACATGCTTTGGTAAACCCAATGCTTGAGAAGTAGGATAGAATGGCAAGATGAGGGCTTTGCTGTCAGGTAAACGAAAGAGCAAATTCTGTCTTTTTCATTTTGCTGTGTGATTTTAGGGAAGACACCTAGCCTCTTGATGTATCTGGTTTTCCCATCCATTAAACGGGGATAGTGAAATCCACGGGAGAACTAACTAAGCTGATGAATGTCAAGTTCCAGAAACAGAGTGGGCTTTGTATGGATGTGAGCCGACTCCCCCTAGGTTAGATGACATCCAAAGCAGTAAGAGAGTGAGTTTCAGAAAGTATCGTGAGGCAGCCACTTGGGAGGTTCGTTAAATTTGCGTAGTCACCTTTGTTTCTTTAGTGCCTGACACTGGGCCTGCTCAGCAGGTGAGAGCACATATGTTGACTTTATTTTTGGTACTGTGTACATCATGGCCCTAGAGACAGGCTCTCAATGTGGCGGCATGGCCAATGGAGACAGTATGCATAGGGAAGGAAGGTAGATTCAAATCTCTGTTTTCTACTGGGTCAGGTTGCTTGACCTTTCTGAACTGCTTTTTTCTCCTCTGAGGTGATACCTACCTCATGTGAAGGATGAAATTGCATCTGCAAAGGCACTTGATGTTCTTTTCTCAGTGGGATCCTCTTAACTGTCCAGCGAGGCAGATAATGTGGTCCATATTTATGGAAGAAAAACCAAGGTTCCAAAAATTGAAATAATTTGCCCAAGGAAAGAGTAGACCTGACATTTGATACAATTATTTTAGCCTCAGATCTATCATCTTTCTCTTCTAAACCGTGACTGAATCATTTATTCGACTGTCTACAGTGAACCAGGTGCTGTGCTAAGTATTTCCATGGGTTGCCTCATTTGTAGTTTAACTCCCCAAGAAGGTGTTAGTCACTCCATGAGTCTCTTTGAGACATCTGCAGGATGAACTTCCTAGTCACTTGGGGAAGATCATTCTTCACAGGACTATGGTTCTCTTTGATACCCGGCTTTGGAAGGAGATGCCCATCCTAACAGTTATGTCAGCTGCTCACTTGACCATCCCTGGAGGGACAGAAGTTATGTATCTGGTATGGTGGATACCATCAGCTGGTAGACAGTTCTCCTCAAGCTCATAGACTTGCTCTCTGGAATTGCACAGTGAACTCTTTGCAGGCATCTCAGTCAGGAATTTTTGTATAAAAATACAACTTAAGCCGGGCTCGGTGGCTCAGCCTGTAATCCCGTGCCTTTGGGAGGCTGAGGTGAGTGGATTGCCTGAGCCCGCAGGTTCAAGACCCACCTGGGCAGCGAGACCTCATCTCTACAACAAATCAAAAAATCAGCCGGGCGTGGTAGCTCATGCCTGTAATTCCGGCTACTCGGAAGGCTGAGGCGGAAGGATCGCCAGAGCCCAGCAGGCGAGGCTGCGGTGGCCAGGAGCGACCACTGCACTCCAGTCTAGGTGACCGAGTGAGACTCCAACTCAAAAACAAAACAAAACAAAACAACAACTTAAGATTTTTGGTTTGTCTGGAAGAAACCAAAGGGTTCTAGCAACCCTGAACCCTCATTCTGCTAGGCAGTGACCCATCAACACCATGTAGTGGCTGCTCTCTGAGGGGTTAGCAGGAGCTCCCACGGTCTCCACTCCACCAATTGTGCTCCCTCACTTTCCTCCATTGCATAGTTTATTTTTCATTTTTATTTTTTGAGTTGAGGTCTTGCTCTGTTGCCAGGTCTGAAGTGCAATGGCATGATCATGGCTCACTGCAGCTTCGACCTCCTGTGCTCATGTGATCCTTCCATCTTAGTCTCCCAAGTAGCAGGGATCACAGGCACACGCCTCCATGCCCAGCTAATTTTTAAAAAAAAATTATTTTATAGAGGTGAGGTCTTGCTATGTTCCCCAGGCTGGTCTCAAACTCCTGGTTGCAAGCAATCCTCCCAAAGTGCTGGGTTTACAGGTGTGAGCCACCACGCCCAGCCCATCGAGTAGTTTAAATTCACATGTAGTGCCCATGCATAATTTCTATTAATAACAACAAAAACACCTGGAAGAGTTTTTTTTCTGATGTATTTTTTTCTCCTTCCTCCCTAGTCTGTGACTGCAACGGGAAGTCCAGGCAATGCATCTTTGATCAGGAACTCCACAGACAGACAGGTGATGGATTTCGCTGCCTCAACTGCCACGACAACACTGCCGGCACTCGCTGCGAGCGGTGCAAGGAAGGCTTTTACCGGCACAGAGAGAGAGATCGCTGCTTGCCCTGCAATTGCAACTCCAAAGGTAGCCGGATAAATGGGAGCAACAGGGGGGAGAGGAGGGGGAAGAAGAGTGGGAGGAGGGAAAGGGAGTCGGTGAGGATAAGGGAAAAGGGGAGACGTAAGCAGGCCAAGGTGGAGATGTTCAACTTCAGGAATGACTGGGAACCACCAGATACTGGTCTTTTTAGCCATTTCAATCTGGAAGGAAACATGTTTCTCTTAAGCTGGAGTTGGTGGAACTAGCTGGCATCTGTAGGACGTGCTGGCTTGAATTCTAGTACCAAGAGCCAGACTATTAACCTTTCCAAGCAGATGACGGTCTGACCCAGGGACAAAGGAAGCTCACACTCTTCCGGGGATCGTTCATCATATTTGCAACCCTCCCTTTGACCAACCTCTTGCAAAAAAGGGATCAGATGGATCCGTTTCTAGTGCTGAACTAGTTGCTAGCAATGCGAGCAGTGCTAATAAGAGAGACAGTTGAGTAAGTAGGAAGATTCGAGTCTTTCTTAGTAAGGGGGCAACCAAGAGAATGTGAAATAAATAGGAAGCACTTAATGGGGTGGGTGGTAGGAGAGCTGGCTGAGTTTTTCATTTTCTTTTTCTTTAAGTGTCCCATCCAATGCTATATTCGCAAAACTGTAGGGCTTTGCTGTGGACACAGATACACACATGATGCTGGATGCTTCAGGGGAAGACAGTGAGGACAAGTTAGTAAATATAATAAGGGAGAGGGACGCAGTTCTTTTAAATAAGTTGAGATGTTTTTGGACTGCCTTCTATGTCTCTTGTCTTTCTTGGCCTGATCTACTTTGTGCTAGAAAGTGTTTAATAGGATCGCATGATAAATATCGATCTGCTTGAAGGATATATTGTTATTGCATGGCAGTGACTCAGTGCAGCAGGTCTGTGGGACCCATTCATAGCTGCAGTGGGAAGAATCTTTTTGAAAATGGGCAGATTTGGGTACAGCCTGAGTGGTAGAGTGGCTTGGGAACCTCATAGAAACCTGAGTGCTGCTTGAGCCTGGGAGTTTGAAACTAGCCTGGGTCACCTAGCGAGACCTCATCTTTACAAAAAACACAAAAATTTGTCAGGCATGGTGGTGCATGCCTGGGACTCCTGTTACTCAGAAGGCTGAGACAGAAGGATCACTTGAGCCCAGGAGGTCGAGGCTGCAGTAAGGTGTGATCGTGCCACTGCACTCCAGCCTGGGTGACAGAATAAGACCCCAACTCAAGGAAGGAAGGAAGGAAGGAAGGAAGGAAGGAGGGAGGAAGGAAGAAAACCAGGTGACCCCATGATAATACAGAACCACATCCTGGCATCTACTAAGTAGCTCTCATGATGTGAATCGAGTCAGATTTGCTTACTTTGTAGTATAGTGTCAGCATCCAGAATCTTTTGGGTTTAGCAATTGTCTGTATGAATCAGAGAACTTCATAAAGAAAAATTATTCCATTTTCAAGGGCATTTAACCTCTCCAAAGATCTCCTGTCCCCTGAGGCCGGGCAGCCTCACCGTGAGTCACCGGAGTTGGGTCATACCGGCAACATGATCAGTGAGAATGAAATTCGATATGTAATTGACTCAGCTGGAAAGTCTGGCCTGAAGACAAGGTTATTAGCTTCAGAGTAGACCAGGAACCTGCTGCCTTGCTAAGTGAGATGGCACTGAAGGCTTTTCCATTCCTCTTCTGTTTCAGTGTGTAGGCCACTGTTCCCCCAGCAATAGTGAGCCTGGTTCTTTCTTTTTATTCAGGGACTAGATAGCCTAAGCTCAATGGGGGCAGTCTGGCAGGATGTGGTGAAGTCCAATAATGACTTATATGTTTTTTTTTTTTGAGTTGGAATCAGTCTGGGCAGTGATATGCTGGCGCCTTCCTGCAGCCCTGACCTCTTGGGCCAAGGTGATCCTTCCCAGTTATTCGGAAGGCGGATGTAGAAGGATCACCTGAACCCAGGAGGTTGAGCCATGATCATGCCACTGCATTCCAGCATGGGTGACAGAGTGAGACCCAGACTAGAAAAAAAGAAGAAAATGCAATTGTACATATATATTTTTAAGAGTTCTAAAAGGAAGCAGACTCTTTTGGTTTAAATTTTAAATGCAGTCTTAATCATTTGTAATACCTTCTTAAGTCCTTAAATGCATGTAGACTTCATCTCCATAATCCTTGAAAGAGGTTTTTGGGACAAAGACTTGAAACAGGAAGTTATTTTTCATCTACTCTTTAAAGTCAACCTTTTACCATCCCTAAGCATAGCTCATGATGTGGGAGTTGGGGCAGGGGTTTTTATTCTAGTGGGCTCTTGTGAGACATTTGGAAAACCCAGTGCTATTGTTTTAGAAGTTTTGGAACATGAAATAAATTAGTCATGATTACAGTTACAGCCTGTGAACTTCTCCATGTCAACTTTTCCAGGCTTGAAGAAACCCTCTGTGATAATGTAGTCATGCATCGTGCAATGGCAGGGATATGTTCAATGAAATGTGTCTTTAGGTGATTTTGTCATTATGTGAACATGCTAGGATGTCCGTACACAAACCTAGATGGTCTGGCCTACTACCTACTTAGGCTGTATGGTGTAGCCTATTGCTCCAAGGCTACAAAGCTGGACAGTATGTTATCGCACTGAATACGATAGACAATTGTGACACAGTGGCAAGTATTTGTGTACCTAAACATACATACAAATAGAAAAGGTAGAGTAAAAACACAGTATAAAAGATAAAAATGACACACATATGTAAGAATTTACCATGACTGGAGCTTGAGGGACGAGAAGTTGCCCTAGTGAGTCAGTGAGTAAGTGGCGAGTGGTGTGAAGGCCTAGGACACTGCCATACGCTGCTGTAGACTTCATAAGCACTGTACACTTAGGCTACACTATGATGGCAGCAATGTCACCAGGTGAGAGAAAATTTTCAGCTCCACTATAATCCCATGGGACCACTGTCATACATGTGGTTTATTGTTGACCAAAATGCCATTATGTGGTACTTGACCGTATACTATTGTCGTGTAGATAATATACTAGTATGTTTGTATACTATAAACTACATTTTCTGAGCATCTACTTCTGGGAGACACTGAGTTAGTCATTTTGTATTTATCAGCTCAACGTCTTTCAACAGTCCTGCAAGATACAAGTCGTTATCCTTACTTAAAAGATGTGATACATAAGCAACATGCCCAAGACACACAGCTAAAATAAGGGCCAGAGCGGGTATTTGAGTCGAGATCTGTGGGGCTTCAAAGTCTAGGCACTTTACACAGCCCCAGCTTCCTTGAACAGTGTTCTCTAGATAGTGTCCCGCAGAACACTGCATTCCTCAAGAAGATAGTGGGTATTGCTGTAAGAGTGTCAAATAATGTTTGGAGACCCTGGCATTAAAGAGTTAAACAAAGCAAGAGGATTGACTGAATCTAGGGGTTCAAGGTGAGTCTGGGCAACTTGGTGAGACCTTGTCTCTACAATAAATAAAAAATTAGCCCGGCATGGTGGTGCCTGCTTGTAGTTCCAACTACTTGGAAGGGTGAGGTGGAAGGATCTCTGAGCATAGCAGGTCAAGGCTGATGCCACTGCACTCCAGCCTGGTGACAGAATGAGACTCCGACTCAAAAGAAAAAAGAAGTTAAACAAACTTCCTGTCTACTGAATGTATCTAAATCTGAAAGATGTAGGATGCGCCATTTCTCAAACTCTTCAACACAGAAAATTTCTTTTCTATTTTTTTTTTTTTTTAATTTGGAGTCTCACTCTGTCGCCCAGACTGGAGTGCAGTGTCCGCTCTCGGCCACCGCAGCCTCGACTTGCTGGGCTCCGGTGATCCTTCCACCTCAACCTTCCAGGTAGCTGGAACTACAGGCACGCGCTACCACGCCCGGCTCATTTTTTGATTTATTGTAGAGATGAGTTCTCGCCAAGTTGCCCAGGCGGGTCTCAAACCCACGGGCTCAGGCAATCCACTCACCTCAGCCATCCAAGGCACGGGATTACAGGCTGAGCCACCGAGCCCAGCTGAAAATTTATTTTCATGGGATGACAGTTAATCCTCTCAGAAAAGTGTTCTGGAGAACGCCATTTTGGGCTAAACCCAAAAGTAAACTACAGTCTTCTCCATTGTATAAGAATAATGTAATTCTGAAAAATTATTGCAGGGAGAGTTTGCCATTAATTTGAATGGGGAAAAAAACCCATGTATTTCTGGGTCCCTAAATTGACACTTATTTATGTTAAAAATAACCACATTTCATCACAGAGAGACTTTTATTTAATGTTACTTGTCGGAGCATTATTCAAAGAGGAATTTGAAGACATTTTTTGCTCTGCCTGCTGACTAGTGAGCGCCATGTCTCTAAACACCAATCCCAACAGCTTCTCTTCATCTCTTCTTGTTCAAATGCTCTCTTGACTGAGGCTCTGGAAGCTTCCCTCTCTCCTCCTCTCTCATGCCTCCTCAGAGCCCCCTCCCTTGGCTTTGCTGTTTGGTTAGACTTTATCCTGAGACTTTTTCCCTGACTACCCTCCCCTTCATCATCTTGTCTCCTGCTCACGATGGCTTCCTATTCAGCCTGTGTGTCAAGGCTCCTAGACCTTCACCTCTAGCCTCTTTCTGGAGCTCCCAATGAACATTTCCACCTTTATGTGCCCCTAGAAACTCAAGTTCCTACATCCCAAACTAAATGCATTCTTTTCTCTTGATGTTTCCACCTGAGATCCTGCTCCTCCCGTTGCCTTCTCTGCCTTGGTAAGTAGCATCGCCGCCCAGCTAGGTGTGCACCCTGGGGGCCTGGGTGTCATCCCTCTCCCTCATTATTCCTGACCCAAGAGTTGCCCGAGTCTGTTTGCTCCACATCCACAATGGCTCTCATGGTATTTCCTTCCTTCTCTTCTCACCAAACTCTTCTAATCCAAGCTACCCACATGGGAGGATGCATGCTTGTCTTGTCCTCTCCAGTTCATCCCGAGATTGCCCCAGAGTCCTCTTTCTGAACTGTGGGTCTGATCTTGTCACTGTCTGCCTACACCTCCGATGACTCTCAATTGTCCACAAGTACCTCTGTTGTCCTGCTGTGAACTTCTAATTCACTACGAGACAACATGAGCTCGTACCTAAGAAGGCCCCAACTCAATGTCTCACACGTAGTAGGTGTTCAGAAAATGGCATTTTGTGCTATTAGCACTGAAGGCCCCTTCAAGTCATGCAAAGCTGACTTGGAGAGATTCAGAGACTTTAACTGTGAATGTGACTGATTTATCTCATGTTCCACATGCCACATTAAAGGCTTTATATAGGTGCAGAGCCAATGTCATTATTGATTTGAATTTTACTCGTGAATTAACAGTTCACAAAAACGTAACAGATTTAAAAAGGCAAACAAACATGTAGTGACTGGTCACTGTTGTCTTGGTTTTATAGACTATGGCAGTGTAATAAAATCACAAGTATTGAAGATATACAGGTTATTTTACAATTCTTCCAGCTGCAGGGAAACTATATAGGTGCTGAGGGGTACTGGCCAGCCTTCCATTTCATCCAAACATCTCATTTCTGGGACTTTATCTCAGCACCTTTCACAACAGCGCCACCCTCTTCCTTGGCCCACACTTTAATCCAACAGATTTCTGGGCACCTTCTTTGCATAGGACACTGTGCTGGGCACTGGGAATACAGCCAGCGACATAAGCTGAGGCATCTCAAGTAGAGTAGGGCTGAGGGCTGGAGTAGAGGGGATAGGTATTTTAGATACAGGAGTCAGAGAAGATTTTTCTAGAGTAGTAATATTTCATCGAGACCTACGTGTTGAGAATGGCCCAACTAGGCGAAGTTGGGCGAGAGAGAATTCTAGACTGAGGGAGCAGCGAGTGCAGACACCTTGAGGGAAGCCACTGAGCACTCTCCAGGAACCAGAGTAGAGCTGGGTTGCAGAACTTAGGAAGGAGGGAGTCGTGGAGGTTAGAGGGGGGGGGTCTTGCAGGCCATGACATGGAGCTGGCATCTTATTGTACTTATAGTGGGGAGCTACCAGAGGACTTAAACAGATGAGTGATATGATCTGAATTACGTCTTGAAAAGAGCACTCTGGCTTCTCTGTGGAGAATGGAGTATGGGGAGGCAAGGATGGAGTTAGGGAGGAAAGCCCAAGGCAGGCCCCAGGCAAGGGGAGGTGAGGCGGAACAGGAGGTGTGGAAGGCCAGGCGGAAAGAAGAGGCACATCTTACAGTGACACATGTGTTACCATGAGCACCTCTCATTTTTTATCTGTGCTCAATCTGAGAGGACCTATTTACAATGGAGAGCCTGTCTATAAAAAGATGGAATGGTGGCTGGCACAGGGGCCCATACCTGTAATCCCAGCACTTTGGAAGACCGAGGCGGGAGGATTGCACTTGAGCTCAGGAGTTTGAGACTAGTCTGGGCAACATAGTGAGACCTCATCACTACAGCAAATTAAAAATTAGCCTGGCATAGTGGCATGTGCCTGTAAGACCCAGCTACTTGGGAGGCTGAGGTGGGAAGATCACCTGAGACCAGGAGTTTGAGGCTGCAGTGGGCCGTGATTGTGCCATTGCACTCCAGCCTAGGAGACAGAGCTAGACCCTCTCTTAAAAGACAGGAAGGAAGGAAGGAAGGAAGGAAGGAAGGAAGGAAGGAAGGAAGGAAGGAAGGAAGAGAAAAAACAGAATGGGAAGACACGGACAGCATACTAGGGCACTAATCAGGTAAGGCCCATGTCCTTCATTCCATGGGGAACACTTTTGACCCCCCCCCAGGTAGGTGGATATTTCAGTTAGCAGGCCTTATTTGTGCTCTTAAAAATCATACCATACAAACACTGACCCTTAAAAGATGGCTTTTTCCTGCCAGAGATAAGGGAGAATGTTTCTCACTTCCTGATATGGCTTCTCTTCGAGGAGGCCAACACACTCATGCACAAATTTCCTCCTTCTTGATCTCACAGATTTGATGGACTGCCTTTTAAAAGCAGGGGGCTGTATGTGACCTCATGTCAAAAATCAGAGCAGATAGACAAAAGTGCCTTGATGAGTGATTTCATTTCTTTCCCTGAAGAACACAGTCTCAGCTATCGGAACTTTCCCTGGTGGGTAGAGGAATATACAGACAATGGGAAACAATTGTTAAAGGTAGCAGGTGCTGGCTCTTACTTAGTGTTTATTGAGCTCCCTTAGGGTGGCAGTTGCTACCTAATGGCACAAAAATTACATATTTCCTTTGCTTGTTTCCCTTCGCCTTCCTTGTGGGTTGCAGGTTCTCTTAGTGCTCGATGTGACAACTCTGGACGGTGCAGCTGTAAACCGGGTGTGACAGGAGACAGATGCGACCGGTGTCTGCCAGGCTTCCACACGCTCACGGACGCAGGGTGCGCCCAGGACCAGAGACTACTGTGAGCATCTGCGTTCCACCATTAATATCACTAACCCAATAATGACAATTATATTAACATTAGCACTCACTCATTTACTGACTCTTACTGTGTGTCAAACACTGGAGTACTTCATGTGGGCTATCTGATTTACTCTTCACAATAGCCCCAAGAGGTTGTAATGATCATTATACTCATTTCAAAGATAAGAGAAACTTGGCTGAGTGTGGTGGTTCATACCTGGAATCCTAGCACTCTGGGAGGCTGAGGGGGAGGATCACTTGAGGCTAGGAGTTCAAGACTAACCTGGGCAACACAGTGAGACCTCATCTCTACAAAAAAATGGAAAAAATTAGCCAGGCATGGTGGCATAGTCCTGTAATCCCATCTACTTGAGAGGCTGAGGTAGAAGGATCACCTGAGCCCAGGAGGTCAAGGCTGTAGTGAGCTGTGACCACACCACCATACTCTAGCCTGGGTGACAGAACATTTCCTTGACTGAAAAAAAAAAAAAAAAAAGAATAGACGTGTTGATACATGGTACAACATGAATGAAGCTTGAAAACATTATGCCAAGTGAGAGGAACCCCAATTACAAAAGACTACATGTGTTATGATTCCATTTATAGGAAATGCCTAGACGGGGAAATATATCGAGATAGAAAGTAGATTAGTGGCTGCCTGGGGCTGGTGTTGGGGCTGGAGGGAGAAGATGTGGGGAGAGGAGGATGACTACCAAAAGGCATAGGGTTTCTTTGTGGAGTGATGAAAGTGTTCTCAAATTATTTGTGGGGTGAGAGCAGTGGCTCATATCTGTAATCCCAGCACTTTGGGATGCCAAGATGGGAGGACTGCTTGAGCACAGGAGTCTGAGACCAACCTGGGCAACATAGCAAGACCTCATCTCTATTCTAAAAAAAATAAAATTTAAAATATATATAAAAAATTGTGGTAATGACTGTGCTATTCTGAGAATCAACTAAAAACCATTGGAGTGTACACTTTAAATGAGTGAATCGCATGGCATATGAATTATATCTCAACAGCAGTATTTCCAAAAGAAAGAACTGAATTCAATAAAATAAAATAGGTAGATGGAATCAATCATGATTAAAAACAGACATTATTGAGTTAAACAATAGAGAAACAAAGGTTAATTTTTTTAAAATGTCAACTACGGTGGGTGCAGTGACTAATGTCTGTGACCTCACCAATTTGGGAAGCTGAAAGTAGAATGATCTCTTGAGGCCAGGAGTTCAAGACCAGCTTGGACAACATAGCAAGATCCCAGCTCTTAAAAAAAAAAAATCTATCTACTGAATCAAACAGTCAGTCAAAGTAAACTAAACAACTGTGTTATAAACTTGGTTTACATTTGCTGTAAACCCACCTTTGAGGGTGGGTAGCAGACAATTCATGGCCTGGCTGCCACACACAGGGCACACTCTGAACAACCCTGGCATAGACAAGTGAGTCCCCAGGGGGATGAGAGAGATCCGCATGGACAGTGGTTACTAGGAGAAGCCCCCAAGGAGAAGGACATGCCCAGCTTCATGTCGTTTGCTCATGAGTATTTAGAAACATGCCTCTAATTTTCTTTTTGTTGTTTTTCAGAGACTCCAAATGTGACTGTGACTCAGCTGGCATTGCAGGGCCCTGTGACACAGGACGCTGTGTCTGCAAGCCAGCTGTCATCGGAGAACGCTGTGATAGGTCTGTATGGACCCTGACCCTATAGACAGCAGAGTCCCTTGGTGACTAGTATGAAAATGAGTCCTCTGAGTGCAGTTGTGGAAAAGGGATACTTAACAAATGTCAATGATCTTCTTCCTGCTCTCTGTCTTTAAAAACTGGACTTTGGCCACATTTGATGGCTCACATCTGAAATCCTAACACTTTGGGAGGCTGAGGCAGGAGGATTGCTTGAGTCCAGGAGCTCGAGACCAGTTTGGGCAACATAGTGAGACCTCTACAAAAAATTAGTAATTAGGCAGGTGTGGTGGTGCACGCCTGTAGTCCCAGCTACTCTGGAGGCTAAGACTAGAGAATTGCTTGAGCCCAGATGTTGGGGCTGTGATGAGCTGTGAGCATGTCACTGCACTCCAGCCTAGGCGACAGAGTGAGACCCTGATTCAAATAAAAAATAAAAACAAGACTTTAAAAAAATACAACTGAGCCCCCACATCTCACTGGACTCCACATTCTGCTCTGGGCCTCTTCTCTTTGCTGTATTTAGGTAGAAGCACAGGGCCCCAGAGATGTTTCTTGCCAGCTGGCTCCGCATCCCAGGTGCTCGGCGGAAGGTGGTGTGCAATAATGAGATCATATGACTCAGGCTGGTCCCAGGAAAGTCCTGACCTAATTAAACATGTTGGGAAAATCCTTGTAAGAGGGCATATCACAGCACATGGCCATATATGTGTATGGAAAAGGCACCGCCCCAGGCAGGGGATGGTGGTTACATGCACACACATGAACTGGGGGACGAGGTAAGAGCCTTCTGGGTCGAGCCATGCTGGGCAGGAAGAACCGTGGGGTGCCGTCTACCCTCAACAGCCTGTGCAGGGCTGTCCTTGAGTTCAACTGCTCAGACTTAAAACTCTTTCCGCCCGAGACGGTTGTGAACACAGGGCGTGAGGTTGGCCCCAGAGGTAAAGGCTTCTTCATTTCCTTAAAAGCAAGAAAGCAGACCTCTGGCACTCTGCCAATCACTTGTACCTGGGCAGAGGAAATGCCAAACACGTTGCTAGCTGTGTTTTCAGGGGTTCCTTGCTGCTGAGGTGAGAACAGGGAAAAAGAGCTGACGTGTTAAGAGAAAAGTCACTTGTTGAAAACCTTTTTATTTTATTTTATTTTTTTTTTATTTTTTATTTTTTGAGTTGGAGTCTCACTCTGTCGTCCAGACTGGAGTACAGTGGCCGCTCCCGGCCACCGCAGCCTCGGCCTGCTGGGCTCCAGCGATCCTTCCGCCTCAGCCTTCCGAGTAGCCGGAATTACAGGCATGCGCCACCACACCCAGCTGATTTTTTGATTTATTGTAGAGATGAGGTCTCACTGCCCAGGCGGGTCTCGAACCCGCGGGCTCAGGCAATTCACTCACCTCAGCCTCCCAAAGGCGTGGGATTACAGGCTGAGACACCGAGCCCGGCTCTATTTTACTTTTAATTTAAAAAAATTTTTAATAGAGAAGAGGTTTGGCTATGTTGCCTAGGTTGGTCTTGAACTCCTGGGCTCAAGTGATCCTCCGGCCTTGGCCTCCCAAAGTGCTGGGATTATAGGCATGAGCCACTGCACCTGGTCTGAAAGCCTTTTTAATTTCAAAATATAATACAGTCACGTAAAAGAAATGTTATAACCACCAAGGATAAGAAACAGACCTCTACTAAAAATGTGTTATCCCAAAGACAACACCCCATCCTCCTCCCTAGGAGTGACCACTATTCTGACTCTTATGGTAATCATTTTCTTGCCTTTCTTCATAACGTATGACCCTCGTGCATTTCTAAACACCATCATTTAGTTTAGCCTGGTTCCCTTCCTCCCTTACTTTTATCTTTTGTCCCCTCACCTCCCCCTCTTTCCTTCCTTTTTAAAAAAAAAAAAATCTTTAAATCTGCAGGTTTCCTCTCCATAGAAACTATAATATATTTTTAAAATATTCTTGTTCTTAGAAAAAAACAAAGCTTGTTTATTCACAACTAGTCTCTGAAGCATCTGCTGTTCACAGCTAATCAGTTTTTCTGAGCTATTGTACAAAGAAGATGCCCAGAGCATGTGGTGGGGTGGCTTAGACCACGTGGTTTGGAGGCAGATGAACATGAGTCTGAATCTTGTCTCAACCACTGACCCGCAATCTGTCCTTAGACAAGTTTCTTAACTTCTCTGGCCTTGGTCTCCTCATCTAATAAAGTTAGAATGAACAATTCTTCTCTCACAGACTTGAGGGGAGGATTAAGTGAGAGAGCATACAGAAGGCACCTAGGGCACCTAGCATGATCATGAAAATGATCATTAATTCATGTGGAAGGATGTCGTTAACTTGAACAGAGGAAAAACAAGTCTCCCCCACCCCTGGCTTCCCCAGCTCTCTTCTCTGTGACCCCAACACCTGAGATTTGCCTGGCAGACACGGTCCTTCTAGAAGCCACTGGAAGGCTCAAGCTGGGAGCAGAGGTGGAACGCAGGCCCACATTGGCTTTTGAAGGATGTGTCCAGCCATCCTTTCTCTTAGTCCTCACCTGCCCTTTTCCTGTGTGGGCCAGAGCCCGGGTACGAGGGGTAAGGATGGTCAGTACAGCCGTGTGGTGTGGGGACATGAGCCTTGCCTTTTCCAGTCCCCCCACCTCCTATTCCTTCGTCCCCGTTAAATAGATGCTCCAGGACAGGGCATCTCTGCATACCCGTGGGCTACCCCTCCCTGTCCTGCATCTGACCTCCACTCCAGTGCCTCACTGAGGAGGGGCCGGTCACTAGGTTTCCAGACCACCAAGAAGAGCCTGACTGTGTTCTGTCAGAGGGAGAGAGAGAGCGAATGTTCTTCTTGCTCGCTCAGTTGAGGGCTGTGATCGTCCAGGAGTAGAGATGCTATGTGAGATATGGTATTTCTTTCCTCTGGGATTGAACAGGGCCGCGTGGGAGACAAGGTAGAAAGAGGCAGAATCAGTCACCATCCTCCCTATGTGGACTATGAAATAACCTATAATACCACCCTGATTTCTAACATGCCACTGCAGGTGTCGACCAGGTTACTATCATCTGGATGGGGGAAACCCTGAGGGCTGTACCCAGTGTTTCTGCTACGGGCATTCAGCCAGTTGCCACAGCTCTGCAGACTACAGCGTCCATAAGATCACCTCCTCTTTCCAGCAAGGTAAAAGTCTTGCGTTGTTCAGGGGTTTGTTTGTTTGTTTGTTTGTTTGTTTTTGTAGAGACAAGGTCTTACTATATTGCTCAGGCTGGAGTGCAGCGGCGTGATCATAGCTCACTACAGCCTCGAACTCCTGGGCTGAAGTGATCTTCCCACTTCAGCCTCTTGAGTAGCTGGGATTTATAGGCATGTGCCACCATCCTTGGCTAATTTTTGTTGTTGTTGTGTTTTTTGTAGAGACGGGGTCTTGCTATGTTGCCTGGGCTAGTCTTGAACTCCTGGGCTCAAGAGATCGTCCCGCCTTAGCCTCCCAAAGTGCTGGGATTGCAGGCGTGAGCCACCGCGCTTAGGTTTTTGTTTTTAATGTGATACAGGACATTGTACTTACAGACAGCCCCCTCCTCATTCACAGGATGGATTTTCAAGTCATCTTTAGCAATTCTCATAGTGTTTAGTGCACATTATTTTGTCAAGGCAATAAGGCATACTCTAATTTCCTGAAAAAGCTATAGCTAAACAGTTCACTCATACTAGCATGTGAATAACTTAAAAGAATAAAAAGAGACTGATTTGTATCTCTCTGCATTTCTCATCCCCATCTATTTCAAAACCACAAGAAAGTGTCATTTGGATTGGGGAGATTATGAGAATCTCCCTGGGATTTATGCACACTAATAATGCTGTTTTCACATACATTAAATGAGTTAATTTATGTAAAATTAGTTACCAGGCTACAGAGCACTATAAAAATATTGAACATTGATATTAGTTCAGCTTTAGATCTGAGTTTCCCTTTGAATAGTTTCCCATGCCTGCTCACCTCATTAAGGCCAGACTCTGTTTATATAAATACAGGGAAAATGCAGATTACAGCTCAATGGCTCATGCCTGTAATCCCAGCACTTTGGGAGATCAAGCTGAGAGGATTGCTTGAGTCCAGGAGTTTGAGACCAGCCTCCACCACAAAGCGAGACCTCGTCTCTACAAAAAATAAAAAAATAACTAGTTGGATGTGGTGGTGCACCTGTAGTCTCTGCTACTCAGGAGGCTGAGGCGGATGAATTGCCTGAACTCAGGAGGCTAAGGCTGCAGTGAACTGTGATCGTATCACTGCACTCCAGTCTGGGGACAGAATGAGACCTCAACTCAAAAAAAAAAGATGCAGATTCCAGAGAGATGAAAACCTGCTCTCTCATCACAAGAGTCAGATTCAATGCTGAGAAGTCAGAGCAGCTGTGGGTGAGAGTGGGTGAGGCAGAGACCCAGGCAGAGGGCACACGGGGATTCTGAGAACCATCTATGAATGTGGAAAAACTCAGAAAACCCTGTGTGCTACTCACCACTAGGACTTTTTATTTTTGCCTTGTTTAACACAATAGATGGTGAGGGTTTGTCTCGAATGCAGACTGGCTTTAATTGTATTTATTTCCAGATGTTGATGGCTGGAAGGCTGTCCAAAGAAATGGGTCTCCTGCAAAGCTCCAGTGGTCACAGCGCCATCGAGACGTGTTTAGTTCAGCCCGACGATCGGACCCTGTCTATTTTGTGGCTCCTGGTATGTGAGGGGTAATTTTTCTTATAGAAGCCAACTTGATAGAAAGTCAGGATGAAAATATAGAGCTAGAAAATGTGAAAACCTTATCACTCAGTGCCTCAATGCTCAGGGCAGCAGCTCTTCAGCAGATAGTAGGGCTTAAGCCCAATTTGATAGTCATAAGACATGGCCCAGTAGAGCAGGAGAGGGAAGTATCCTGGAGGTCAGACCCTGGCTGAGGTGCCTACTTTAATCAAATGGGAAGTTTCTAGGTTTCCCACCAAGGCAAGAAATCAAGGACTGTGGACAAATATATGGGTCTCTTGAGAAGCAGATGGAATAGCAAAATCAAAGCATTTCTTAAAGTTTCAAACATTTGTTCACTAAAAATATATATATATATATTTATTAGCCAGTGGTATGTGCCCAGGTAGAAAAGCTCTAATGAGAATTCTGACACCAGTTCATAAACCTAGCTAATACATCATTCTTGGGCAAGTTGTTCTCTTAACACCTCTGAACTTCAGTTTTCTCCACTATTAAATGGGAATACTAATGCCTAGCTCCAAGAATTATTGTCATCTAGTGTGATTCTGTCTGTGAAAACATTTTGTAAACTATATGGCATTATATAACAAGTGGCATTATTATTATTTTTTTTTTTAGTTGAAGTCTCACTCTGTTGCCCAGACTGGAGTTCAGTGGCACACTCATGGCCACCCCAGCGTCGACTTGCTGGGCTCTGGTGATCCTTCCACCTTAGTCTTCCAAGTAGCCAGAACAACAGGTGCACGCTACCATGCCCAGTTAATTTTTTTTTTTTCTTATTGTAGAGACAAGGTCTTGCCAAGTTGCCCAGGCTGGTCTTGAACCCGCAGGCTCAGGCAATTCACTTGCCTCGGCCTCCAAAGTGCAGGCTGAGCTACCGAGCCCGACCCACAAGTGGCACTATTGCTGATAGACCTAGGTTCTTTACCTAACAGTCCTAAGGGTCGTGGTGTGAATCATCTAATAGATGGAATTGTCCTGTGATGAGGCTCTTTTAGCATTTCAGTAACTAACCCTCCTTTAAAGTCAAAAGTGACATGGGGCTGGATGGAGTGGCTCACACCTGCAATTCCAGCATTTTGGGAGGCCAAGCTAGGAAGACTGCTTGAGCCCAGGAGTTTGAGACCTGCCTAGGCAACATAGTGAGACCCTGTCTCCACAAAAAATTAAAAAACTAGCCTGGCACAGTGGCATGTGCCTATAGTCCCAGCAACTTAGTAGGCTGAAGTGGAAGAATTGCCTCAGCCCAGAGGTTGAGGCTGAGATTGTGCCACTGCACTTGAGTCTGGGCAACAGAGTGAGACTCTAACTCAAAAACAAAAACAAAAACAAAAACAAAAACAAAAACAAAAAAAGCATTTCTTAAAGTTTCAAACATTTGTTCACTAAAAATATAATATTTATTAGCCAGTGATATGTGCCTAGGTAGAAAAGCTCTAATGAGAATTCTGACACTCAGCCCAGGTGGTTGAGGCTGAGACTGTGCCACTGCACTTGAGTCTGGGCAACAGAGTGAGACTCTACTCAAAAAAAAAAAAAAAGTAGCATGGCACACCCAGTGTCAAATGCTGACTCTCCTGGCATTTTCTAATTCTCATTGGGGCAGGGTGACATAGGATTCTAACAGAAATTGCCGACATTAATAAAACTTGTGCATGTGCTTGTCTCTCCAGTTTCAAAACTGATCTCAGTCTTTTAAAACTCTGTTTCACAGCCAAATTTCTTGGGAATCAACAGGTGAGCTATGGGCAAAGCCTGTCTTTTGACTACCGTGTGGACAGAGGAGGCAGGCACCCATCTGCCCACGATGTGATCCTGGAAGGCGCTGGTCTTCGGATCACAGCTCCTTTGATGCCGCTTGGCAAGACACTCCCCTGTGGGATCACCAAGACATACACATTCAGGTAAAAACAGAGACCACAAGTTGGTCAGAGAGAGCAAACTGGGATTGACACTCGATTCCTTTGTTCATTCATTCAATCTGCTTTTCTGAGTCCCTTTTACCTACCAGTCGTGGCTATGTGTTGAGACAGGATACAATCACTTCCCTCAAGCAGCTGACAGGCTGATGGAAGAGAAAAGGAAGTAGATCATTAACAGTGCAGTTTGTCAACTGGACAAGATGGACACAGGTGTCTTGGGCATACACTGGCAGCATGACTGACCCACACTGGGGTGAGCAAGGAAAGCTTCCCAGAAAGACATGACAGATGCAAAGAGCAGCTCTCTAGGGAGGGTGAAAGTTAATAAGGCAGAGGAAACATAATGCTTGAGGGGGTTTTATGCATTTAGAAAATTCCAAGTGGTTGAGCATGAGTGGAGCATGAAGGGTGAGAGTAGAGTGCAGGGAGAGGTGAGGTCAGAGAGACAGGTGGGAGTGAAGTCACGGACGGCCGTGTGTGTGTGTGTGTGTGTGTGTGTGTGTGTGTGTGTAGGGATCGCATGGCTCCCTGTAGAATGGGGATTCTGAGTGGTGGGTGCAGAGAGGTCAGGAAGTGGGCTGTGCCTACTGAGTGTTCTGCATTGGAGGCTGGGAAATAAAGATGGACCATGGTCTTTGCTCCCCAAGAGCCTGCGTCTGGTAGAATACATAACACGTCAAAAAGTAAACATTATGCAATAGGATCTTTGCTTTCATGGTGGTGCCTGTTCATGGGGTCTTGGAAGGCACCTGATTCTGCCTGGAGGAGTCAGAAAAAGCCTCACGGGGGAGGCAATGTGAAAGGGCCCCAGGGCTTTTCCAGGGAGAAAAGTCAGAGGAAGATGACCTGGGCATGTAACGATATGAGGGAGAGCCAAAAAAACAAACCCTGGAATTTATTTATTTAAAAAAGTGTATTTATTCTTATGTTTAAATTTCATTCACCTTCAAAGTATTCTGTTTGATGTAATACACCTATGGAGACGTTTTTCCACAACTCAAAACAGTTTTTGAACTTGGCACTTTTGATGCCTTTTAGTGCTTCTGCTGTTTTTTGTTTGTTTCACTTCTTCCACATCGGCAAAACGTTTCCCTTTGAGGAGTTTTTTCATCCAAGGAAACAAAAATAAGTCTCTCAGAGTGAGACTGGATGAACAGAGAGGGTGGGGTACAAGGATCACGCTATTTTTGGTCAAAAACTGCTGAACACTCAGTGTGGTGTGGGCAGGTGCACGCGTAAATCACCCATCATGAAATGGGCAAACACACGGAAAGAATCTCCCCCTCAAAATTTACTGAAGCTGAACACAGCCTCTCACAACAATGCTACCTGGTACATTGATGTCGATGGGTTCCTAGAACACTCACCTAGCGTGGGATGCCTATATTACAAAGGACCTGCCCTTCAAAAACAACTCTGATTTTTTGGGGCCCCTCCCTTGTATAGGGGGGACCCGGCAAGCCATATTTATAGCTGGCACACAGCATGTATAGGGGAACTGGGCAGATAAGTTTGCAAAAGTTGGAAAAAGACCCATCATGGTGGACCTGTATGTTATGTCAAGAAGTTTAGATCTCGTCAATGGTGAAAAGATGGTGGAGCGCCATTGAGAGATTCTTGAGAAGTGTCACTTCTTGAGGTGTGAAGGTTGGGTGCAGATGCAGGGACCATGTGCAAGATATTTTGGGCAGGGTCCTTAACTGGACCATTAGAACATATTCACAGCGACTCAGGTGAGGGTTGTGGCGGTGCCTAACCCAGGGCAGAGGTCATGGACATAGGGAAAAGAAAACCCACAGCACACACACAAGGTGTATATTAAATAACCGAGAGTACTTGTTCTTTTTTTTTTAAATTTTTTTATTTTAAAGATGTGGGGTACAATTCAGGGTTAGTTATATAAATGCTCATTATGCAGGTACTCTTGTTGATGAGGTGTGCTCTCTCCTTACTTATAATAATGCACACAGTGAGCTCTCCTGCCCTGATGTCCATTCTCACCTCCTCGGCTTAATGAACCTACTCGTTTTTTTTTTTTTGAGTTGGAGTCTCACTCTGTCACCCAGATTGGAGTGCAGCGGCCGCTCCCGGCCACCACAGCCTTGACCTACTGGGCTCCGGCGATCCTTCCACCTCAGCCTTCCAAGTAGCTGGAACTACAGGCGCGCGCTACCACGCCCGGCTGATTTTTGATTTATTGTAGAGATGAGGTCTCGCCAAGTTGCCCAGGCTCTTGAACCCGCGGGCTCAGGCAATCCACTCACCTCAGCACAGGATTACAGGCTGAGCCACCGAGCCCGGCGATGAACCTACTCTTTGAGATTCATATTCTTCCTCTGTATTAACCTTCTTAGAATCCCAGGTGAAGTTACAGTAGCCTTGTGTGTTTTCTGTGGCATTCTGCACATGCATTCACAATAGCATTTGCTACATTGTGTTTAACTATTTCTTCACCCACCCGACTTCCCTGGTTGGACCCTAAGCACCTCTTCCTGGTTGTCTATGTGTCCTCCAGCTTGACACAGTTTCTCGCCCAAATCAAGTGCACTCAATTTTAACAAATCAGGGAATGAAATGAAAGGGATAAGGTTGTTTCTGGAAAGGACATTTCAGTAAGAAACAAAACAAAATTGTAAAGAATAGCACAGGGTCTATTGATACGATTCAATGTAGCACCATGATGCCAAATTAAGAAGTATTAAATGTGGACAAGGAAAAATGTGGAGGTTGATTTTTGAAAAAAGAAAAATGTGTTCAGATAACACATAAGTGGTTTAAAAAGCAAAAGAGCTGGGCATGGTGTCTCATGCTTGTAATCCCAGCACTTTGGGAGGCCGAGGTGAGAGGATTGTCTGAGCCCAGGGGTTCAAGACCAGCCTGGTCAACTTGGCGAGACCTCCTCTCTACAAAAAAACAAAAAATTAGCTGGGCGTGGTGGTACACACCTGTAGATACAGCTACTTGAAAGGCTGAGGAGGTAGTGGCAGTAAGTTCTCACTCTATTGGTTTGCACAAGAGCTGCTTGTTTAAAGAGCCTAGCTCTTCCTCCCTCTCTCACCACGTGACATGCTGCCTCCCTTTCCTTCTACCATGAGTAAAGGCTTCCTGAGGCCCTTACCAGAAGCAAATGCTAACACCATGCTTCTTGTACAGTCTGCAGAACTGTGAGCCAAATAAACCTCTTTTCTTTTAAATTAAAAAAATAAATAAAGACTGAGGAGGAAGATCTCCTGAGCCCAGCAGGTGTATGCTGTGGCGGCCGTGAGCGTGGCCCTGCACTCCAGCCTGGGTGACAGAGTAAGACTCTGACTTGAAAATAAATAAATAAAAAGCAAAACTAAAAATGAATGGTAGCCCTAGAGAATTAGGGCTTCTGGCACTCAGAAGTGTTTCTAATACTAGGTTTTGGGTGAGCAAGAATAGAAAGTGGTGACTGAGAACTTGGGACCAACATTGCTTCAGGTGACACGGCCCCTGGGGTTGGACTTCCCGCACGGGATGCCCTTCATCACCTCCTGTGGTGTTTGCCCTCCCCATGGAGTGAAGAAGCTCCAAGTTCATGCCTCCAAGGAGGTGGCTACCAGTCATGTGTCCCTCTCTAAGCAGAATTCTGAAGGGGCTTGGCTGTTCCCATTCTTGGGGATAATTTGTGACAGATAGGAATATGAGTCCAATTTTTAAAGTTTCTGATTGTAAATTATGCAGGTTAAATGAACAACCAAGCAGTAATTGGAGCCCCCAATTGAGTTATTTTGAATATCGAAGGTTACTGCGGAACCTCACAGCCCTCCGGATCCGAGCAACATATGGAGAATACAGTAAGTGACTAAGAGAGATGAATTTCTCTCTTCCTAGATTTTAGTTTAATTTGTTTCTGCTTTCTAAGGTGGGGACAGTCTCTGAACAAGTAGATAAACTACTTGATGGTTTTGACTTAGAGTTTTTGATTGAGTATACATTTTTCCTTTTCTGAAGTTTTTTAAAAAAGAATAGTTCTCTAAAAAGAGCTCAGCACCAATGAAGAATAGCACCAATGATGCTATCTTGCTGAAAGAGTCTCTGAATTTAGATAAAGGCTGATTATTTGAGGAAGATCATTTTAGCTAGGAAATGACACCTACAAAGTAGTCCTCTTTGTTCCTTGAGTAGCTTTTCTGTTTGGGATTATACTCGATGCTACCGTGTTTGGACTTCACCATGCATTCTGTTAATTCCCTTTATTGAACTTTACATATTGGACTCTCCTAATCCCAAATGGAATTATTTAATGAGATTTCCTTAAACTTTTCAGTACTCACATAAAAAGGAAGCACGGTTGGCATGTACCATTTCCATGCCATTGGTGCAACAACAAACACAGGAAATAGGAAAAGTGTTTACTAGCAATTGATGGACCCTTTACTACATGCCAGGCACATTATAATACATGCACCGTCTCATTTAATTTTTACAACAAACTTGAGAGGTACATACCACTGCTACTCCTCTTCTAAAGTTGAGGAAACACAGCCCTGGAGAGGTTGTGTGACTTGTCCGACTCACCCAGCTCATGAGGGTAGGGACAGGATTTCAGCTGAGTTTTCTGACTCCAGAGTTTATGTGCTCAGTCACGATGCTAGATAACCCTCCCTCTCTACATGGCAGGATGTATGAACACCACTTGTCTGTCTAAGGAGTTAGAAAAATAACGCCCCCTCCAAAAAAAAAAAAAAGAAAAGAAGAAAGAAAGAAGAAAAGAAAAAAGAAAGAAAGAAAAAGTAAAATCCCAAGAGAGGTCTGACTTCAGATCTTCAGACATTATCACTTGCTACTTCTAACCCATTCTTTCTGTTGCAGGTACTGGGTACATTGACAATGTGACCCTGATTTCAGCCCGCCCCGTCTCTGGAGCCCCAGCACCCTGGGTTGAACAATGCGTGTGTCCAGCTGGATACAAGGGGCAGTTCTGCCAGGATTGTGCTTCCGGCTACAAAAGAGATTCCGCCAGACTGGGGCCTTTTGGCACCTGTATTCCATGTAACTGCCAAGGGGGAGGGATCTGTGACCCAGACACAGGTGAGTGAAATAACACCTGGGCCAGGTGGCTGGGGTCTCCAGAGAGACTGTGCTTGAACTCACTTCAGAGATGGGAAAGGATTAAGGAGGGTAGGGCTGGAGTCGGGGAAGATGGACATGGTGCCTGTTACACTCAATCCCTTTCATTATGGAAACTCCGAGAGGTTGTGCGAAAGGTGCTGGGTTACCGGAAATGGTCATCACGGTTCAGTGCTGGGCAAAGGAGCTGGTGTCGAGTTGCAGGAATTGTGTGGGGAGATCAAGGGCAGGCCCAGGTCTAAATGAATGTGCCAACAGATGGGGTCAGGTCATGGAGGACGGGGAACAGTGTTAAGTCATGGACTGTCAAGGAAGTGTGTGTCTACTTGGTATGCAGAGTGAACTGGGGCTCGGCCATGTTCAGATTTGGTCCTAGGGCAGGAGAATGCCAGTGCCCTGACACTCTGGGGAATGCTTCAGAAGGGAAGGCTTTGGCTTTCTGTGCTCTGCCCCCCACACCTCCTCACCCACGTTGAAGAAAGCGTGTTGTCTGGTCCTGCCCATTTCTCGATTCCTCCATTCTTCTGCCTGCCAGGAGACTGTTACTCGGGGGACGAGAATCCTGACATTGAGTGTGCCGACTGCCCTATTGGCTTCTACAATGATCCTCATGACCCCCGCAGCTGCAAGCCATGCCCCTGTCATAATGGATTCAGCTGCTCGGTGATGCCCGAGACAGAAGAGGTGGTGTGCAATAACTGCCCCCCCGGGGTCACTGGTAAGACCAAGGGCCTGCTCCGCCACCTGTTTCCTCCTAATGCTGTAAATTTGTTTAAATCACTTCTATTCCAAGAAATTTCTGGGAAATTATAATTACTTGGGGTTCACCTAAATGTGCTCATTATGCCAGGCATAGTGGTTCACTCCTATAATCCCAGCCACTCAGGAGGCCAAAGCAGGAGGATCACTTGAGGCCAGGATTTCAAGACCAGCCTGGGCAACATAGCAAGACCCTGTCTCTAAACAAACAAACAAACAAACAGCAGCAACAACAACAAAAAAAACTCATTCTAAAAGTAACATCTTAAAGAGATCGTATTATGATGCCTAAGAGGCGATGTGGAAGAGAAGGGCAGAGTGTACAGTTATGGAAGGAAACATCTAAAGCTGTTCTGGGAGATTTGTAATTAGGAGATGACATTATCAGATCAATTACATGGTTCTGTTTTTTTGTTTTTGTTTTTCTGGTTTTTGTTTTTTGAGTTGGGATCTCACTCTGCCACCCCTGCTGGAGTGCAGTGGTACAATCATGGCTCACTTCAGCCTCAACCTCCTGGGCTCAAACAATCCTTCTGCCTCAGTTTCCTGAGTAGCTGGAACTACAGGTGTGCACCACCATGCCTGGCTGGCTAATTTTTGTACTTTTCTGTAGAGACGAGGTCTCACTATGTTGCCCTGGCTGGTCTCAAACTCCTGGGCTCAAACAATTCCCCCACCTCAGCCTCCTACAGTGCTGGGATTACAGGTGTGAGCCACCACATCCAACTTGTTTAAGTTTTTTTAATGAACCAGGGTAAAGGAAAACTTAGTGGCCTCTGAAATGTCACATTCTTCTGCTGGTGAGTCTAAAAGAATGATTTCTTCAGCAGCACCCTTGGTGATATTGCTGGAATCTTCCCACTTCTGTGGAGCTGCTAGCTTTTTCCCGACCAGCTAATTAAGCCTCCTAGGGATGCTGCTGGGTCCTCAAATCTGTGGTAGCCTCGAGAGCACCAGCCCCTGCTCCATGGGTGTTGTTCTGGGGTCCCCTGGGGAAGTGTGTTTCCCTGGTCTTTAGTGGGGACTTACTCCTCCAGTTCTCTGCGTCTGGTCTTGCTGCCAGTGAATGACAACCAGGGCTTAGCCATTCTTTCCTCCCCAGGTGCCCGCTGTGAGCTTTGTGCCGATGGCTACTTCGGAGACCCCTTTGGGGAGCGAGGCCCAGTGAGGCCTTGTCAGCCCTGTCAGTGCAACAACAATGTGGACCCCAATGCCTCTGGGAACTGTGACCGGCTGACGGGCAGGTGTTTGAAGTGTATCCACAACACCGCCGGCATCTACTGCGACCAGTGCAAAGCAGGTTACTTCGGGGATCCGTTGGCGACCAACCCAGCAGACAAGTGTCGAGGTGGGACTGTACCCCCAGACGGGTTTGTGTGTGTGTGTGGAGATGTGTGTGTGCACATATGAGCTTGCCAGTGTGTACACACGTAAGTAGGGGCAAGGGCGGTTCATGTTGTGATTCTACTATGTTTGTGTGACTAAACAGGCCCTTGAGCAGCCTGAACATTCCACCTACCAACGGCCTTAAGACCCATTTCCCCTGCAGCAGGGAGACTGGCTGGATTAAAGCTGGGTGGAAGAAGCAGAGAAAATCAGGTTTAAATGCCCATATGGAAAGGGAGATAAAATGGGGCCACGTCCTATGCCCAGTCCCAAGGTGGTGGGCAGGGAAGTGACTGCCAAACTCGTAGGAGAGCAAGAAATGACTGAGCAGGCCGGGTGCGGTGGCTCAACCTGTAATCCCAGCACTTTGGGAGGCCGAGGCAAGAGGATTGCCTGAGCCTGCGGGTTCGAGACCAGCCTGGGCAACTTGGAGAGACCTCGTCTCTACAATAAATCACAAAAACTAGCCGGACATGGTGGCGTGCCTCTGTAGTTCCGGCTACTTGGAAGGCTGAGGCAGAAGGATCGCCTAAGTCCAGCTGGTGGAGGCTGCGGTGGTCATGAGCGTGCCGCTGCCCTCCAGTCTGGGCGACAAGAGTGAGACTCCAACTCAAAAAAGAAAAAAAAAGAAAAGAAAAGAAATGACTGAGCAAACTCCAGTGGGGAGGGACAGGGTTGTGAAGGAGTTCAAGAGACCCTCTTAGGAAGTGAGCGTGATTGATGTACAGAAGATAGCCGTTGATGTTCTCCTAAAGAGACGGCTTCAAAGCAGCAGCGGCTGTAAAACATTCTTAAGGGCTGCTTCAGATCAAAGCCTGAGTGTGCTGATCGATCCTCCCGCCCTGCTCTCCTTCCAGACATTGGACGTATTATCGTCTAGAGGGAACTGGCCTGCCTCACCAACCCCATCCCAGACTGACCCTGGTGCCCAGAACTCAGGAACTTTTTGATAAGATCCAGAGTGGCCCAGGCTGGAGGACTCCTTTCTGCTCGGACAGGCCCAGAGGTCTCCAGGGAGCTTGCAGTCACCCACTCTCACCAGGGTCTGCATCTGGGAATATCTGAGGACCTCTGTGCAGCCTGAGGCTTCTACCCAGGGGCACAAGTCCCTAGGAGATTTCTAGAACTAGCCCTGACTGCAGCCTCTGAACTGTGATGTGCTGCAAAGCACCCCATGACAGGAAGCGTCCACATGGCACCAGCAGGAGTGAGCTTAAGTCCAGTGTTGTAACACACTTTTTGTGTTATGCTGATTTTGTGATATTAATCCCTCTGAGCCTTAGTTTCCTCACATGTATGAAAATATTTAACTCAGAGTGGTAGATATAGAAAAGCACTTGCAAACTCTCTGTAATTCTAGCTATGTGTCCTAATTATATTCCGTGTAATTCTAGGTTAACAGTAGGGATTTCCCTGCCTTTAGATCATACATTTTTTTCACTCAACTATCTTTTATCGAGTGCCAACATATACCCAGTGTGGACCTACCTACAGACTGGGGTTATAATGATGAAAAAGTCATCCCAGCTCCCAGGGAACTTGTGTGCTAATAAGGAGGGCACATAAATGTATATGCAAGTAATGACAATATATGATTAGTGTTTTGTGACCACTGAAGATACAATAACCCAGAGAGTGACCATCACCCAGAGAGTCACTGTAATCGTCAGAGCAGTGTCTCACCCACTGTTACATCCTTAACTCCTAAAACAGAACCTGGCATACAGTAAGTGCCCAGTCAATTTGATTGAATGAGTGAAGGTACTGCTTTCTTACTGTGTTTCCTACCTCAAAAGCAGCAGAACAGAAGGAACATTAGCTCTTTCTCAGCTTGCATTATAGCTTACCGTTTACTTGCTGTGTTACCCTGGACAAATTACTCCACCCCTCTGAGTTCACATTTTTCATCCATAAAATAGAGGGAAATGTCTATATCTGGTATATAACAGTTCCAGAAGAAATGTTATTCACCTTGAGAACAGAGCCAGAGTGCCTACAGAATACTTAACAGGCTTTCAGTTAACAGGAGGAAGAAAATGAAATGAAATGAAAAAAAAAAAAAAAAAAAGAAACTACCAGAAAGGTTGTAGTCTTTCTGCATCCACAAAGATGCTAGATGATTCCTAAGACCTGTGTGTATTAGGAATGTGCTTGCAGGAGTAGCCAAGAGATGAATCTAACACAATCTGTGCTGGCAAGGGCAAAGAAAGATTCTCTGCCATTGGAGTCTTGGTCTTCTTCTGTGTATCTTTGCTGCACCTCCATTTTCTGGGACCAGTTTGATGTGTCTGTCTCTTGTCTCTAGCTTGCAACTGCAACCCCACGGGCTCGGAGCCTGGAGAGTGTCGAAGTGATGGCAGCTGTGTATGCAAGCCAGGATTTGGTGGCCCCAACTGTGAGCACGCAGCATTAACCAGTTGCCCCGCTTGCTATAATCAAGTGAAGATTCAGGTGGGAATGCTTCTCCTAACCCCTCTCCCAACAACAGAATCAAGTCCTTGTGTCCACTGGGTGGTTCTGATGCACACCTAGGACCCCCCTAGTCTTCTGGGGATGGCAGCAGAGGTGATGACTTCTTTATTTCAAAATCTCTGCATTTTAAAACATTCTATATAGTAATAGTACTTCAGGTTTTTAATTCTTATATATACCAGTCTCAAAACCTCTTTGCAGATACTCTTTTATATGGAACTCATGATAACTTAATCGAATTGGAAGAAAAAAATATTCTGATCTCAGTTTTCACTGGTCAAACAAAGTCTCAAAATACTTACAATATTTCAAAGTTATATGTTTAGGTGGAGCCAGGATTCTCACCCATGCCCCTACTCTTTCCATTAAAACTTCAGTGTTCTTTCCACTATAATATGCCACTTTCCAGCTCTATTTCCCTCCCCAAGAGATGTTCTTATAAAACAAATTAAGAAAAACAAACATAAAAGACAGGAGGCATCCAGAAGGTGCCAAGGCTTTCCAACTTGGAATGGCCTCCAGAAATTTCTCATTCGAATTCCAGAGAAGAATGAGCTTGATGTTGTTTTGTTAATTATTAATCATTATTTTTTCTGGAGTGAGGGTCAGGGAAGAAAAAGGCCCAAAATAGAAGTCCAAATGTAGAACAAACTCAACTCTTTTGTGTGTGTGTGTGTAGTACTTCCTTTGTGCCAGACACTGTTCTAAGCACTTTAAAAATATCAACTCTTATAGCCCAAATAATAACTCTAGGAGATTTTATTATTTTTTTTATTATCGCCATTTTATAGGTAAAGAAAGTGATTTGCCCACAATCATGCAGCTAGTGAGTAGTGGGCCGGGATTTGGACCCAAAGAATCTAGGCTCCAGAGTCTACATTTTTGTTGTTGTTGTTGAGTTGGGGTCTCACTCTGCCCAGGATGGAGTAGTAGCACAATCACAGCTCACTGCAGCCTCGACCTCCTGGGCTCAGGCAACCCTTCAACCTTGGCCTCCCAGGTAGCTGGGACTATAGGTATGCACCACCACACCCAGCTAATTTTTTGATTCTTTGTAGAGACAAGGTGTTATTATGTTGCCCAGGCTGGTCTCAAACTCTTGGGCTCAAGCAATCCTCTTGCCTCAGCCTTCCAAAGTGTTCAGATTACAGGTATAAGCCACTGCGCCTGGCCAAGAGTCTAAATTTTAACCACCATGACGTGTCAAGCATTTCTGGACTTTTATTATCTGCCAGTTCCCTGGTATTGGACCATGGTCTCCATCCTCTGTTCGGGTCTTCTTTCCTGTGTGGTTTCAGATGGATCAGTTTGTGCAGCAGCTTCAGAGCCTGGAAGCCCTGATTGCGAAGGCTCCGGCTGGTGGAGGAGCCATACCCAATGCAGAGCTGGAAGGCAGGATGCAGCAGGCTGAGCAAGCCCTTCAGGACATTCTGAAAGAAGCCCAGATTTCAGAAGGTGATGAAAGCCAACTTCCCTTCAGGCAAGGGAGAATTCATAACCCTAGAAAGAATTCCTACACTAGGTAATAGAACCTTCTGTGCACCTACTGGACAGCAGTTCAGCAGGTGTCTCCAGCCAGCCCTGGCAAAGATGGAAGGACTGTTTGTGACATTCCCCTGAGACCTGAATGATGGAGACGAAAGACCAGTTGCATGCATTTATCAATTGGGTTTTTATCATTTTGCCACAAGCAAGGCAATCCTCTGTTATGTCTGATGGCCCCATGCTTGACCCAGAAGGTGTTCAGTCTCCTTTTTTTTCAGGTGCTAGTAGGTCCCTCGGTCTCCAGTTGGCCAAGGTGCGGGGCCAGGAGAACAGCTACCGGCAACGTCTGGATGACCTCGGGAGGACCGTGGAAAGGCTCCAGGCCCTGGGAAGTCAGCATCAGAACCGAGTTCAGGATACTCACAGGCTGGTCACTCAGATGCGGCTGAGCCTGGCGGAGAGCGAAACTTCCCTGCGGAACGCAGTAGGTTTTGTTCCTTCGAGTCCCAAGAATCCCTGCAGTGTTGCGCAACCCACCTGTGGGTCTCACTGGCTCCCTTTCTGTCTCTGGCTCACCTGGCAGGTCACTGGACTTCTTCCTTGCAACAGTCACTGCTGTGCTTTATGTCTTTGGTCTGCTGCGATTTCTCATCTTACCGCATTGTGTCCTTCTCGCTCATTTACTTCCATCCACATTCTCAGCCTGGCCCTGCTTCTCCTCCCTTCTTCCCGCCTGTCTCTAGCTTGTCAGCTCCCAGAGGGCAGGATTTGCTTTTGTTCGTATTTGCATTCTCAGCTCACAGCACAGTGTGTCTGCTGCATGAATGATTGGAAGAATAAAGACATGAGTGAGTGAATGAAGAGGGAAAGAAGAAAGAGAAGGAGGGAGGGGCTGGCCCAAGAAAGACATGGTTTTGAAAAATGGAGGAGAGTGTTGCCAGAATGATTTTTTTTTTTTTTTTTGAGTTGGAGTCTCACTCTTGTCGCCCAGGCTGGCGTGCAGTGGCACGCTCACGGCTACCGCAGCCTCCACCTGCTGGGCGTAGGTGATCCTTCTGCCTCAGTCTTCCAAGTAGCTGGAAGTACAGAGGCACGCCACCATGCCCGGTTAGTTTTTTTTGTGATTTATTGTAGAGACGAGGTCTCACCAAGTTGCCCAGGCTGGTCTCGAACCCCCAGGCTCAGGCAATCCACTCGCCTTGGTCTCCCAAAGTGCTGGGATTACAGGCTAAGCCACCGTGCCTGGCCCAGAATGATTTTTGAGCTATGTAGCTTGTGATGTGGTAGGAGGAAGAGAGATTTGATTGAATGCTCTTTTGACGAAAGAAGGCTATGGTGACAATAACGTACGAGTGGGAGAAGAATAAAGGAAATTGGCAGATAATCAGCTGCTATGATGAGGAAATTATATTAAAATGTGTATGGATTTTTCCCTTTATTGCAAAAATGTTTATTGTAGAAAATGTAGAAAATAAATTTTAAAATCCCCTAAAATCCCATTTCTACTAAATAACCATGATTAAAACTTGGTATATAGTTTACCAGACTTAAAACATATATAAAAATGTGTACATGTAAGCCACATACCGTAGCTCATACCTGTAATTTCAGCACTTTTGGAGGCCAAGATGGGAGGATCACTTGAGCCCAGGAGTTTGAGACCACCCTGGGCAATGTAGCATGACCTCGTGTCTACACAAATAAAAATTTTTAAAAAATTAGCCAGGCATGGTGGTGTGTGTCTGTAGTCCCAGCTACTCGCGAGGCTGAGGTGGAAGGATCACCTGAACCCAGGAGGTCATCTCTGCAGTGAGCAGAGATCCTGCCACTGCACTCCAGCCTGAGCAACAGAGTGAGACTTCAACTCAAAAAAATAAAAATATGTACATGTATGTACATTTGATGCATCTATATATACAGACCTTTTTGAACTTGGAGTTCTTCTTTCTTTGTCTATACTTTTTTAAAAAACAGAATGATATGGTGTTAGGGTCTGGAACCCTGAGTGGCTAACCAAGTGACTCTGACAAGACAGATGCTACACTTGCTTAGGCTTCATGGCCAAGTGCAAAGGCTTAATCAGTTCTCCTTTTTCCACAGAATATTCCTCCCTCAGAGCACTACATGGGACCAAATGGCTTTACAAGTCTGGCTCAGGAGGCCATGAGATTGGCAGACAGGTAAGCAGCATTAGCGGACACCTCTGCTTTGGGCCTGCAAGACCAGACTTGAAAAAGACTGCAGGGTATTCAGGACCCAGGCACCCCATTCATTCTCTCCAGGTTCAGCCGTCCCCTACCTTGAAGCCAGTTTCTAAGCACTTGTCTTTGAGTGTATGTAGGTGGCCACTGGGCAGGGTCCTTTGGCAGGAGTTGGGGGTGGGGGTGTTTCTTGCCCAGCTTTCTCTGTGACTCACAATATGACTTTGGAGTATGTCAGATGTAACTCCTCCGGCCACATGAAATGAATCAGCCCTTGGAAAGAAAGCTCTGCAGCTTTCAGGGACTCCCAGGCTCCCATACCAAGCCTGGGAACAAGTAGCAACCAGTTGTTTGCTGGTCTGTGAGGGCCAAGTCTGTGGGGGAGACTTCCTCCTGGAAACTGGCTCTGCAGGGACCCAGTGTAACAGGCAGCTCCCTTCATCCTTGCGTCTGACTGGAAATCCTATCATGTTTAAGAGGTTTGCTCTCTGCAGAGTGCTCAGCAGGGTGGCAGGCTCTGCTAATCCCAAGTGGAATTCAGTCAGCGGAAGAGGGCTGGCTCCTGTCTTTGTAGCGGGAGCTGCCTCCTGAGCCTGTTTTTTTCTTTTCTCTCATTTATTTCCATCCACATCCTCAGCCTGGCCCTACCTCTCCTCCTTTCTTCCTGCCTGTCCCTAGCTTGTCAGCTTCCAGAGGGCAGGATTTACTTTTGTTTGAATTTGCATTCTCTGCCCCCAGCACAGTGTGTGGTTGTGGTAAATATCTAGAACCAGGAGGACACAAGCATCGGGGAAATTTTATCGACATGCTTTGTCCCCTTGGTGAGTGGTGAGTTGCCATCAAAGTGAGTAGAGGTTGGATCCTGGGTGAAGTAGGATCTAGTGGTTTCTTCCTGAGGAAACCGGCTTACGACGGATGTGTGTCTTGCACCCTGTGACTGCTCCCACCCACTCCAGGCTTCCAGTGATGATGCCATTAACGAGAGGGATCACCACAGGTCTATGACACGAAGTCTGTTCTCCAGAACACCTTCTGCTTCTTGCTAGTGCCTCTAATTCCATCTAGTCTGGGTCAGTTCTGTTGGGTGTTTCTGAGTCACACCAGTTCCCTTCATCTTCGCCCTTCATTTAAACGAACGACCTAAAGGAAGCCCTTTGCTATGAAAAGTCTAATTCTTTGTTTGTAATCCTTCCAGCCATGTTGAGTCAGCCAGTAACATGGAGCAACTGGCAAGGGAAACCGAGGACTACTCCACACAGGCGCTGTCCCTGGCGCGCAAGGCTCTGGGCGAGGGAGGCGGAAGCGGCAGCCTGGATGGTGCTGTGGTGCAAGGACTTAGGGGAAAGTATGTTTCCACAGGTTTCATGTGAACCCTTATACCCTGGATCCTTCCAGGGTCTAGTGCAGGTTGTACTTGAGGGGCACCTTGTCACTTTAAAAAATATATTGTTAGGCTGGGCGCGGTGGCACATGCTTGTAATGCCTGCACTTTGGGAGGTCGAGGCAGGGGAATCAACTGAGGTCAAGAGTTCAAGACTAGCCTGGTCGACATAGTGAGAACCTGTCTCTACCATATGTTTGTATATATAAGGTGTGTGTGCGCGCACATGTGTGCATTTAAGAATAATAAGAGGGAGAAGATAATGAGAGTGTAAGAAGTTGAGGTAACATTAATCTAAATAGAGAGTTTATTTGGACCAAGCTTGAGGATTGCAACCCTGGAGCATCAATTCAAGTTGCCCTGAATATACACTCTGATGAGCAGCAACTATAAGTGGATTTTTTAAAGAGAAAGAAGAGGCAGTTCTCGAGTTACTTGCCTAGAATTTACATTAAAAGAACATTAACCATTGATTGGCTATACATTGTTAAGCTTTAGGGTGTGGGATACTGTCCAATATGGTGTTATTAGGTTAATTTCTAGCTACTTGTGACAATAGCAAGTAGGATATGATTGCTGTCTCATTTGTAATGTGTCTCTGGACCTGATGGTTGAAAAGTACTTGCATTCCTCAGATAAAAATTATTTTCTCATTGGAGAAAAGTAGATTATTTTTAAGACTAGAAGAAGAAAATGTTGATGAAGTAATATTTATGTTTTGATTGAGAGATTGCCATACTTGGAGGTACAGTTACCCCCAGTGGTGTTTGAAGGGTGTGAGCAAACTCATCTGATGGCATGGGGGATTATAAAGATAATATATTTCTGTTATCAACAACTCAGAAACTTGGGGTGAATTTTTCTGATCCAACCGTATTAACTAAAAGGTTTATGTTTAGATTGTGGAGAGGGACCCATATCAGATACATAATCTTTTGGTTCTTCTGGTTATTCCCACTACATTCTTTAAAAAGACCACAGGGGCCAGGCGAGGTGACTCATGCCTGTAATCTTAGCACTTTGGGAGGCTGAGGCAGAAGGATCACTTGAGCCCAGGAGTTTGAGACCAGCCTGGGCAACAGAGCAAGACCATGTCTCTACAAAAATAAAAAGTAAAAAATGAGCTGGGTCTGGTGGCATGCGCCTGTAGTCCCAGCTACTTGGGAGGTTGAGGTGGAAGGATTGCCTGAACCCAAAAGGTCAAGGCTGTGGTGCGCCATGATTGTGCCACCGCACTTCAGCTTGGACATACAGAGCCAGACCCTGTCTCTCTCTCTCTCTCTCTCTCTCTCTCTCACACACACACACACACACACACACACACACACACGAGGAAGAGGAAGAAGAAGGAGGAGGAAGAGGAGGGAAAAAAACTAACAGAATTAATTTTTGCTTTTATCAAGATCCTCTTTTTTTAACCCCGTCTCCTTCTCCCTCAACCCCAGATTGGAGAAAACCAAGTCCCTGGCCCAGCAATTATCAAGGCAGGCCATTCAGACTGACATTGAAGCAGATAGGTCTTATCAGCATAGTCTCCGCCTCCTGAATTCTATGTCTCAACTTCAGGGAGTCAACGATGTGGCCTTTCAGGTGAGGGTGTCTGGTCTATGTGTTTGATGTAACAAGAAGGGCCATAAATGTTTTCTTCTCTGGGGGTTCCATAATATTGTTCAGCCATTCAGCTTTTTCTCCATGTTGACCTTTCTTGCTTTGAAGTAGGAAGAGTATTTATCCTTCTCGTTATCCATTTCCTTTTTCTTAAACCCCATTCCTGGTCTCTGGAAAGTCCTTGTCCCATCCCAAACCTATTAGTGGATAAAAGTTTTCTATCTTGGCCAGGCTCAGTGGCTCACTCACACCTATAATCCCAGCACTTTAGGAGACTGAAGAGAGAGAATTGCCTGATCCCAGGAGTTTGAGACCAACCTGGGCAACTTGGTGAGACCTTGTCTCTACAATACATTAAGAAAAGTTAGTTGAGTGTGGTGGCACATGCCTGTAGTTCCAGCTACTTGGAAGGCTGAGGTGGAAGGATGGCCTGAGTCCAGGAGGTGGAAGCTGCAGTGCCCGAGAGCGTGACACTGCACTCCAGCATGGACGACAGAATGAGACCCTGACTCAAAAAAAAAAAAAAAAAAAGAAGTTTTCTGTCTCTTCCCTAGTTCTGGGAAGTGTTGAAACCTGTGGGACATTATTATGAAGATTTATGCTCACACTTGGATTGAACTACAGTATGTCTATGCACAGCTACTGAGAAGACTTGTGCTCGAAAGTTTTGCATTGTTTCTGTCATCAATTCCCTTAACTATCTCAAATTTATTAGATTAAGAAGATCCAGCTTACTAACTACAGCAAAAAGCAGTCATGAGTCCCATGGACATATGTTCGCATGTACATATAAACTAACAAGAAAAAGTAAAAAAAAAAAAAAAGAACCAGACAAAGTCTGGTCATGATTGGGAGACGTGATGCCTGATGTTCATTGGGCATACCACCTCATTTCTGTTGGGTTTGGGGCCTGGATGGCAAGTGACTACTTTCCTGGCTTCTTAAGGCTGTTGCTGTTTTTAAACAATGACGCCAGGTCAGAACAAGGCTGATGTGGCAACCGCTAGGCAGAAAGTCAAACTCGTTTATTTCTTTGGGCTCACAGGCAGAAGTAAAGAGGATCAAAGAAAAAGCTGATTCTCTCTCAAGCCTGGTGACCAGGCACATGGATGATTTCAAGCATGTGCAAAGCAACCGGGGAAACTGGGAAGAAGAGGCCCAGCAGCTCTTACAGAATGGAAAGAACGGGAGACAGGTATCCTTTTGTTAATTCACTCACTCAGCAAACACGCCCTGAGTGCCTACCATGGATAGATATGGCAAGAAGAATCATCAGAAGCTCTCTGGAGGTCATTACTTGCAGAGGGAGTGACATTGATGCAGAGATCTTGCTGTGATTAGCTCAGCTCCACCCACTAAATCAGCCCTCAAACCTAGGAATAGGACCAAGGCCTCTTAGGCCTTTTTTGGTTCTGCTCTAGCTATTGTTTGACTTCAGGAACTTTCTAGAATTTAACATTATGGTTTACAAAACTGTTCCTGTCCCTCATGGTAGCCTAGAGTTTGAGACTGTTCTCCATGTGAGATGTGTCATTGACATACAAAGTGGGCTCTGTCCCAGACTGTTGAGGGGTTGCTACAGCATGCTTAGACTCGTGGTGAATCACAGCACTCTGTCGTCATAAAGAGAAATATGTCTGAGGGATTTTGCTAGCAGGAATGTACTTCCTCTAATCTTGTTCTATTTCCAGAAATCAGATCAGTTGCTTTCCCGTGCCAATCTTGCTAAAAGCAGAGCACAAGAAGCACTAAGTATGGGCAATGCCACTTTTTATGAAGTTGAGAACATCCTCAAGAACCTCAGAGGTCAGTAATTCTTGGTTTAGTCACTTGAATATTTCAAGGATAGAGCCATGACTGATTTATTTTGAATCCTCTTGTATCTCTCTAAGCGGTAGGCATATTGGGGTATTAATAGATGCTTAGTAAATATCTTTCTAAGGCAAAAATCTCATTAATATTTAATATAGTGGAAAGAACTGAGCTAACTGTCAGAAGGCTTGGGTTCTGATCTCTGCTGGGCTGTCTGACCAGGTCAAGCGAGCCACGTGACCGTAGGCAAGTCACATAGCCTTTCTAGAAGCTGATATTTTCTTCTTTGAAGGGAAAAACTTAAACTAAGTGATCTCAAAGTTCCCTCACAGATCCAGCACATCACTACTGTACAGATCTCTTTCCTTTTTCTTTTGTAGCTTGGTTGGTTCCCATATGGAACTGATATGGTTGCTTTGTGGTGAAGACAGAGCCACTTTTGTCACTGCATCTGGATCCCTGGAGATTTGGGTTTGTGCCTTGCAGAGATTTTGTTGAAATCTCCAGCTTCTTCACTAAAGCACAAAAGAGAAACACTCCTAAAGTCTTGGGATTTTCTTCACAGAAAGTACTTCTCTGCCCATTCAAACCAAACTCCAGCTCTTATCATTGGAACTTAAGGCTTGAGGCTCCGGCTTAAGCATTGGGCTTCAAAGATTTTACCTGCTTCTAATCCACTTTGAGGTCTTAATACTCTTTGAGGTCTTAATATGCTGGTGGGAACTGCAGTGGCTGATTGCCGGTTTTTCTAAGCAAAGGGCTGATTGTAGCCTCACCAATGCTTCTTTTAAGATGCTTTTTCTTGGGTAAGAAAGAGTCGTTCTGGCCACAGTCAGTCATAACACTCTTTCCAGAATTTTTTCTTCAAAACGTCAGTCCCTTTCACATGTTTTTAAGTGTGCTTTCATCTTCATGGCAGTTTTTCTTTCTTCTTCATTTCAGAGTTTGACCTGCAGGTTGAAGACAGAAAAGCAGAAGCGGAAGAAGCCATGAAGAGACTCTCTTCCATCAGCCAGAAGGTTGCAGGTGCCAGTGACAAGACCCAGCAGGCAGACACAGCCCTGGGGAGCGCTGCTGCTGATGCTCAGCGGGCCAAGAATGCGGCCCGGGAGGCCCTGGAGATTTCCGGTGCCATCGAGCAGGTAGAGAGAGATGGAGATGGTGCAGAGTTGGGGGGTGGAGGGTGTGGAAGGAAGGAGCCCATTGAGCTCCTTTTCACCCTGCAGCTCAGAGTCCTGTCGTGGCCTCTGTCAGCTCCAGATCCACACAGCTGTTCCTTCTGTTGGCTCGACTCACAGGGTTGTGAATGACTGAGTGTCAAAGTCCTCATTTTCAAGAAAAACCATCCACAATTACTTTTTACAGAGATGACTGTATTACATTTCCAGTGATGCTATTACAGAGTACCATCAACTGTGTGGCTTCAAACAACAGAAATGCATTTTCTCACAGTTCTGGAGACTAGAAATCCCAAATAAGGTGTCAGCAGGTTGTGTTCCCTCTGAGGCTCTGGGTGGAATCCCTCCCTGCCCCTCCCTGGCTTCTGGTGGTGGTTGTCAGTCCCTGGTGCTCCGTGGTTTGCAACTGCGTTGCTCCCATCTCTGCCTGTGTCAACACGTGGTGTTCTTCTCCCTGGATGTCACTTTCTCCTCTTACAAGGACATATATTGGAAGGAGGGACCACCCTACTCTAGTATGATCTCCCATAGCTAACACGTCTGCAGCGACCCTATGTCTGGACGAGCTTGTGTTCTTTTTTTTTTTTTCTGTTGGAGTCTCACTGTCGCCCAGACTGGAGTGCAATGGCCGTTCCTGGCTACCGCAGCCTCTACCTGCTGGGCTCCGGCAATCCTTCCGCCTCAGCCTTCCAAGTAGCTGGAACTACAGGTGCGCACTACTACGCCCGGCTAATTTTTTGATTTATTGTAGAGATGAGGTCTCGCCAAGTTGCCCAGGCGGGTCTCGAACCCGCGGGCTCAGGCAGTCCACTCACCTCAGCCTCCCAAAGTGTGGGATTACAGGCTGAGTCATGGAGCCCGGCTGAGCTTGTGTTCTTAAGACTTCAGTGTATCCTCTAGGGATACAGTTCAACTCAAAACAAGGATCACCAGTGTTTGATTCTGGGTGATAAAATTTCGGAGTTCTAGATCCTTTGTTTCAGTCTATGTTCTATGTTTAAGCTCCACTTTTTTCTTTCCTTCCACAGTGTGTTAGCACTGGGGATGTGGACGTAAGAAAGGGCTACTTCCTCTCTTTAAGGACATTCAGTGTACTGACAAGCTGCACTTATGAGCCATGTGTTCAATGCTAGACTAGAGGGAATACTTCTCAGCTGATAGAGAACTTCTCAGCTCCTAATTAAGCATAATTTTGAGAAAGCATATGAAAGCCCAGAAAGCCTTCAGAAAGCCCAGAGTGAACACTTAGTATCTGAACTCTTCAGCCTTAGTATCTGGGCTTGGTAACTTGAAAAACTAATTTCTAATTTTTCCCTTGAGAGTAGAGACCAATTTCTTGTGTGTCTCTTTATACAGCTGCTAGCATAGAGATACCTGCAATTTGATGCTTAATCATGATTTTATTTATTTATTTTTTGAGTCAGGGTCTCATTTTGTTACTTAGGCTGTAGTACAGTGGCAAGATCACGGCTCACCACAGTCACCACCTCCTTGATGTATACAAGAAGGACCATAAATGTTTCCTTCTCTGGGGGTTCCATAATATTGTTCAGCCATTCAGCTTCAGTCTCCTACCTCAGCCTCCCAAGTGGCTGAGACTACAGGCACATGCCACCACATCTGGCTAATTTTTAAATTTTTTTGTAGAGATAAGGTCTTGTTATGTTGCCCAGACTGATCTCAAACTCCTGGGCTTAAGCAATCCTCTTGCCTTGGCCTCTCAAGTGCTGGGATTACAGGTGTGAGCTACTGACCTTGGCTTAATAACAGTTTATTGATGATAAGCTTTCTCCTTCAAAAACAAAAACTCGATGCTGTAGCCCATATAGTCTCTGCACTCCAAACTCAACTGTCTCAGGGATCCTAATAAAGCCTTTCAAAAGACAATAGCATCGTGACCCGCCTGGGCAGCTTGGCGAGACCTCATCTCTACAATAAATCAAAAATTAGCCGGGCATGGTAGCGTGCGCCTGTAATTCCAGCTACTCGGAAGGCTGAGGTGGAAGGATCGCTGGAGCCCAGCAGGTTGAGGCTGCGGTGGCTGGGAGCGGCCACTGCACTCCCGTCTGGGCGACAGAGTGAGACTCCAACTCCAAAAAAAAAAAAAAAGACAATGGCAGCAAAGGAACGTGGCAGAGAAGGATGTGAGTTTCTTGTCCTCTGGGTTTTCCCAATGTTTCCCAATTGTGTTCCACATTCGCTGAGCATCGAACTGAGAGGGAAACAGTGTCTCAGCGCTGACCTCCTAGTCCCTAGAGACATACCCCGAATGTAATGTGTTTGAGGCAGAGCTTGGGGAAGGGTGTGTCTCTGAATCAGATTCTCCCATTATTTATCTAACGGACACCCCTCAGGGCCTGGCTACAGCTGTATTTTTCCTACAGTTGTCTTTGGGATGTTTTTGTGCCTCACGCCTATCCCTCCTTCCGTCCTTGGCTCCTTTTCTTCTCCCAGGAGATAGGGAGTCTGAACTTGGAAGCCAATGTGACAGCAGATGGAGCCTTGGCCATGGAAAAGGGACTGGCCACTCTAAAGAGTGAGATGAGGGACGTGGAGGGAGAATTGGCAAGGAAGGAGCAGAAGTTTGACACAGATCTGGATGCAGTGCAGATGGTGAGTTCCTCCTGCTTCCACGGAAGAGCCCTTTAAACTTGCCTGTGTGGAAGATACCTCTTCAAGGCTGGTTTGTACTTATTTTTCCTCAGGTGATTACAGAAGCCCAGAGGGTTGATACCAGAGCCAAGAATGCTGGAGTTACAATCCAAGATACACTCAACACATTGGACAGCATCCTACACCTAATGGGTATGAGGATCATCTATAACCCACCAGCCCCATGCTCCAGGACTTTTCTTGAGAAGATTCCCTATACCCAGCCCCAATGAATAGGATCGCAACTTCCCTTAAGGATATCAGGAAATTTGCATTGTTTCCAGGCCCAGATCCTTGGGGAAGGTTACTTTACACTTTTTGCATTCTGTTTTGCCTTCTCTAAGATGGATCACTGAGCACCTATTGTAGTTGGGGGTGGAGATCTGTGGGTCAATAAATTGAGTGTATTCAGGCAATTTCACAGAAGATTGGACAGCTTGAAGGTCCTGGTAAGAAGTCAGACCTTGGGGGCGCAGTGGCTCAACCTGTAATCCCAGTACTTTGGGAGGCAGAGGCGAGAGGATTGCCTGAGCCCATGGATTCGAGACCAGCCTGGATAACATGGTGAGACCTCCTGTCTACAATGCCTGCAGTTCCAGTTACTTGGAAGGCTGAAGTGAAAGGATCTCCTGCAGCCCAGCAGTCAAGGCTGTGGAGGCTATGAGCCACTCTAGTGGCTCTAGCCATCCTGGGTGACAGGGTGAGACTCCAACTCAAAAAAAAAAAAAAAAAAAAGTCTGGCCTTGATCCTGAGATGCCAGTGGACATTTTTGAGCATCCAAACATCACACTGTATATTTCAGAAAGATCACTAGTGTGGCTAAGTGGAGGAGAGCTTGCAGGAGGCTTAGAAGGCAGGTTGAGGCCACTTAGGATATTGTTGAAAGAATCAAGGAGAGAGATGACAGGAGCCTGCTCTAAGGCAGAGAGTGGTGACAGGGAAGATGTAAAGGAAGATTCTCCCTGTCATGAAGTCAAGAATCACTTCCTGATTCTGTTGTTTGTTCAACCCCAAACCAAAGATATATCTTCGATGTAACCAACTGGAGAAATTTGAGCTGCCTGGACAGATAACCCAGGAGGAATGTGAAGATAGTCTGTCCACAAGATACTGCACAATTATAGGATAAAATGGATTCGATAGCACAGTGTGGCAGAGAATCAGGTTTCCCCACAGAGTCATTCCCAAATGAAAACTGATTTTGATTAAAATTCTGGCTATCAAATTCTCATTTGGTCTTTTTTTTTTTAAGTCAAGCTTGGACTAAAGCCAATGTGGAACTAGAGATTCAGGCACAGATGCCAGCGACATTCGGGAAAAGGCTTGGCTCTGCTCTTCTAGTTCAGTGGAACAACTTTCAAACCAGATTTTTCCGAAGAGTGTCATCATCACCCTGAGACCAATATTGTCTGTGTTGTTACACTCTTGGGTCTGCTTTGTGATCCAATGAGCCCCAAAGAATAAATACTCTCTAAGTATTAAAAAAAAAAACTCCCCAGTTAAGACCTTAGCAGCATTGTTTAGTGTTCTTTAAAAAGGTAATGAAATTAATGGAGCCTTTAAAGAGAAAATGAGAGAGTGGGGAGAGAAAGGTAGGAGGAACTATTACACATTTACCGTGTTGGGTACTAAGCCAGGGATTTTCATGGTGTAATATCCGTTAAGTCTTCTAAAAGTCCTATGGGGTGGGTTTTTGCATTTTAATTTAATTCAATGTTTAATGTTTAAGAATAGAGACAGGGTCTCATAATGTTGCCCAGGCTGGTCTCGAACTACTGGCCTCAAGCGATCCTCCTGCTGCGGCCTCCCAAAGTGCTAGGATTGCAGGCCTGAGCCACTGTGCCTGGCTGGTCCTTATTATTGTTATTATTTTATTTCACAGAGGAATGAACTGAGCCCCAGAGAGGCTAGCAATGCCCTGCAGGTCACCTAGTACATTGTGGAGGAGAGAAGATTCGAACTGAGATCTTTTTGTCCCCAGCGCTCCTGTTCTTTCCTAGTAGCTCATGCTGCCTCTCCCTGGACATGCTTTGTTCCCAAGCTTAACTTTCTCTGCATGCCATACAACCCTAAATTCTCCCCTGCTCCCAGATGAAGGATATATCCATTGGATCAACTTTTTTATTATGGTATTGTTTCTATTCTATGTGCTCACCTGAATCCTGGAACAATAACAAATTAATTGCTCTAGTTCTAATAAGCTCATGTAGTCAAATAGTATCACTGCAACTCAGAAATGTGAGGCAACTTGACCTTGAGTTTGAGTAGACCAAGAGCCACTCCAGCCTTTTCGAACTAAGTGGGTCTGGCCAGGTGCCCTTCATGCTGACATTAGTTTTGGATTGCTTATGGGTAAGATGCACCTGAACAAATGTAGTTACATTTTATATTGGAAATTAACTACTCTCTAGCCAGATTCCCATTGCTTTAGGCCAGAATGAAGTCTTACATCATTCCAGCTAACAGCTGGAATCCATCCCCCAAATAGCAAAGCATACTTTGGCCTCTGTAAACCCTGAAGATCAGCCAGTTTCTAAAGGTCTTCTAATAGAAAACAGCAAGATATTTCCTAAGGGTGGTTCAGAAAGCATCATTTGGAGTTGACTCTAATCCTAGGGATGATCTGTGTTAGGTAGACAGCTTGGATATGCTCAGTCCCCTGTGACCTTCAGTTTCGTCTTTGCAGAGCATGAACTATTGACCCTAACACAGAAGGGGAAATTCAGACTTGATATTGCTGAACTGTAGAGCTCAGAGTCTTGGGCAGGGTTGTTTATAACCAAGTAACTAGGCTAGTGCTCTCAAAACCTTTTCTAGATTATTTCTAATTTAAAATAAGATCTTTTTTTTTGTCAGAGTCTCATTCTGTCGCCCAGGCTGGCGTGCAGTGGCACGCTCATGGCCACTGCAGCTTCAACCTGCTGAGGCAATCCTTCCACACCTCAGTCTTCCAAGTATCTGGAACCATAGGCGGGTGCCACCATGCCTGGCTACATTTCTGATTTATTGTAGAAACGAGGTCTTGCCATGTTGCCCAGGCTGGTCTTGAACCCCTGGGCTCAGGCAATCCTCTCACTTCCACCTCCCAAAGTGCTGGGATTACAGGCTTGAGCCACCGCACTTGGCCTAAAGAGTACACATATTCAAGATCTAACCACAGCTTTTCGATGTTAACCTCTGTCTCGTTCCCTAAAATAGACCAGCCTGGCAGTGTGGATGAAGAGGGGCTGACCTTATTGGAGCAGAAACTTTTCCGAGCCAAGACCCAGATCAATAGCCAACTGCGGCCCTTGATGTCAGAGCTGGAAGAGAGGGCACGTCGGCAGAGGGGCCACCTCCATTTGCTGGAGACGAACATAGATGGGATTCTGGCTGATGTGAAGAACCTGGAGAACATCAGGGACAACCTGCCCCCAGGCTGCTACAATACCCAGGCTTTGGAACAACAGTGAAGCTGCCATGGAGACTTCTCAACTGTGGTTCTTGGGACACAGACCTCAGGGCTCGGGTACCATCTCATGTGGGTGGGTGGGATGAAGACATTTGAATATGTTGAACAGGTGTGCTCAGGTCAACTGAATCTGACCCTGTCCCTGAGATTGTGGCCAGGTTGGTGTCTTTTCACACCAGGATGACTCTACTTGCTTTCTGGTGCTGGGCAATGAGACAGATGGCACTGGGTGTGAAACTGACCAAGCACCTGGACCCCAAAAGGAGGCTGTTTAGAAGGACTACCTGCACGGGCAGATGTTTGGCTCGGAATAATCATAAACGAAGTGCTGGAATGTGGACAAGGGCTGTTGGGCTATAGTCAACTTATTCTTCGAGTAATGTGACTAAAGGAAAACTTTTTTACTGTGCCCAGGCATAAAATTCTTCCTAATGCCAGAACAGAGAGTGAAATCCAGTGACACTGTGGCCAGTAAAATACTGTTGCCTCGTACTGCCCACCACAAGCTTCTTGCCGATCAGTTCCTCCTACTTACCAGCCAGTACGTGAACCTGTTTTCCACATTCAAGCTGCGAGAAGCAAGCCATGCTGGAGGAGGAGCCATGGTGCCTGCTGACACCTGTCGCCTTTGAGGTCTGGGTCTAAGAGTAACGTCCTTTCTCTGAATGATGCCATTGCAACTTAGAAACTGCATTTTTATTAAAGCATTTCCTACCAGCAAACATTGGGAAGGTATTTACTTTTAGGTTTCAAAGTGTTAGAAAAGTGTGGCTTGGGCATTGGAAGAGGAAATTATCTAGATTTGTTGAGACTAATTCAATCCCAGTTTCAAACACTAAAAGTCATATGCATCTATGTATTTTATCTTATGTTTTCTCTTTCCCCAAGTGCCTCCCCCTTGGCAGCAAATGTTCCTACCCATGGTTGAACTTGATAGAATCCATCCTTCCATCCATCCTTGCATCCAACATATATTTATTGAGTGCCTACTGTGTGCCAGGGTCTGGCAGTACAGTGCTGACATAGTCTCTGTCCTTATACAGTTGGTTGTATAGTGAGAAAGACAAACATTTGTAAAAAATAAATGTCAACTTACAAATCTTGTTCATCACAAGTGGTGTTTATTGCAGTAACCCCTTGGTTTGCAAAGTTTTTGCTGAACAGAACATCTGTTGCAAGACCTTCCCACGGGGGCATTGAGTTTCGGCAAAGCTGAGAGAGCTCTGATTGTGCACATTTCTTCGCATTCCAGCTGTCACTCCACCCCTTTCTACAAGTGATTGCAACAGACTGTTGTGTCACGAAAACACCAGTGGGAATTGCTGGAGAAACCAGAGGCACGTCCACCTCTGCTCAGAAGCTTTGGTGCTGCCTCACTTCTGTATTTCCGTGGCTTTTTGTGGATGTGTTTTTAAATCAAGAACAATTTTTCAATTTCTGGGGTCCGTTTCTGATTGACTAAACTCTAAGCCCAAGGTGGAAGTAGCAAAGCAATGGAAATGAAATTGCCATGGAAATGGCTCCTACCATTGGCATCTTCAACTCCTATTTCTCAACACCTTATATTGCCCTTTCCAACCATGAGAGCATTTTATGAGAGTTCACTGATGCTGTCTCATAAGATGAAGATTTATTTTTAGAACAACCCAAACTGGGTGGGGGGTACAATTGATATCTTTTTTCATCAGCTTAAAATAAAGGTAAAATTAATCATTTTTTTGTACATATGGCATGCTTTTTAATAACTTAAAATGTAATAAATAATATCCTGAATTGGTCATCTACCCAAGTGACTGAGGAAAGGATTCTGCTTGTTTACAATGATTCCCAAAATTTGGTAGGTCTAATCACTTCATTTGTCTTCTGTGAAATAAATGAATTTATAATCCTGTCTTGCTATACTCAGTCACCCATCCCATAAATCTCTCGCTGTAATTAACAACTAGTGCCCGGAAAATGTATGTGTATTAATTAGATTAACTGCTATCTCCAAAGACCTAAAAATATGCAATAACTCAAACACAATAGACTTGCTCCTGTAACAGACTGGGTAGGGAACAGGATGGCAGGGTGGCTCTCCACATAGCCATGTCCGAGGCCCGGCCATTTATAACATGTGACTTCTAAGGTTGCCAGGAGGGCATGGTGGGAATGTCTTCATTCCAGCTGAAAGGGAAAAAAACATGGAAGTAAGAGACACCTGGAAGGGTCTTTTATTTCATGGTCCAAAACCCAGTATTATGATCACATCTAACTTGCAAGGAGTCCGGAAGAGTCCCTTGATGGGAAGCCACTTCTCAGTGACAGGTCTACACTATGAAAGGGGAGATTGTATTGCTGGTGATGGGATGCCTCTGCCAAGTATAGGATTAGACAGTACATATTCTAGGAAGCTTAATGAGGGATCCCATGAGTTAATAATCATAGTACATGCAATCAGAAAAGGATTCTTTATGGATAGCTTGCTAAGAAAGTCACAAAACTGTCTTCCCTGACAAATGGGAGCTGGTACCTGGGTAGAATTTTCTATTTTCTATTTTCTATGGGGAATAGAAAAGTGACTCAGGGGGTTCCCTTGGTATAGAAATAATTCTCTCATTTCTGAATGACCCATAAGAAGACAAAAGGGGATGTGGCTTAGCGACAACTTGCCCAGGACCCAGTTCCCCTCAGCCAGTCTTTTACCTGACCCTGCCAAAAGAGAAGGGAGCTTTCCTCACTGGTATGCACAATGTATGGTGAAAGCTTTCTTGCATTTCCCCTCTGAGAGATTTCTGATTAATTGCACTGTTGGCAAACTATTACACACATCATTTACATGCACTCTCAGGGATTTCTGTTAGGAGAGGAAGGTAGAAATGAAACTGCCCATAGACCATAACCTCTCAACAGATGTATTTCTTGTCTTATCCCAGGATGTGGTTTCTTCTCAGTACTCTCGGGAGTCTGGAGAAGAGGATAAGAAGACACTCAGTACTGTCCAATGTTTGGGACAAGTCTCAAGGACCAGGAATATTTATCACGTCTTCTTTTTATGTTCTTCATGGTCATGGGAATGTTATGGATTCCTGCTGTGTTTCCATTTTCCCACTTGTGAAACACAGACTAGAATTTATCTCTGCTTTCTTTATACTAGGGACTATGTGGTACGTCCTAGGAAATCCCAAGAGCTGAAGCTTATTTACGGGCTTTACTTCTTAAGGGAAGAAAAGTGTATGCATGTGTATGTTAATTTATATTTAGTCTATACATTTTATAAGCCAGTACCAGTCCGCAAATTAAAGCAGTGTTTATACTCCCTTTTAAACAAGCTCTCATCATTACACACTCTCAGGATAGAGGGTAAAAAAGCTGTGTTTAGCTTTGTGAACAAAACAACAAATGTAAACACAAGTAATCTATTTACAAGCATATTGAGATTATTAAGATGTGCCACAAAACCCACATGGATACACACAAAGCTGGCTAATTTGAATTTAAATAAAGAAAAAAAATCCAAACAAAACAACTAAGAACCCTAAGATCCAAACGATTTTTTGAAAAAAATTAATCCATGCTCATGGATGGGAAGAATCAACATTGTTAAGATGTCCATCCTACCAAAGGCAATCTACAGATTCAATCCTGTACACATTGAGTTACCAACATTGTTCTTCTCAGACCTGGAAATGACAATATGGAAATTCATATGGAAACATAAATGACCATGAATAGCCAAAACAACCCTTAGCGAAAGAAACAAAGCAGGAGGTATCACACTTCTAGACTTCAAACTTACTATAAGGCTACAGTAATCAAAACAGCCGGGTATTGCTACAAGAACAGGCATGTAGACCAATGGAACAGGATAGAGATTCCGGAAGCAAAACCTCAATATTCAACCAACTCATCTTTGACAAAGCCTTCAACAACAACCACCGGCGAGAGGAGAATCTATTCAGTAAATGATACTGGGAAAACTGGTTGACCACATGCAGAAGATTGAAACAGGACCCCTACCTATCACCATACACAAAAATTAACTCTAAATGGATCAAAGACCTAAACGTAAAACCTCAAACTATAACAATCTTAGAAAATGCAGGAGACACCCTTATGGAAATTAGAACTGGCAACCAATTCCTATTCAGAACCCTAAAGGCCAATACCTTAAGAAATAAGATAGACAAGTGGGACCTCATCAAACTAACGAGCTTCTGCAAAGCAAAAGAAACCATCAGGAGAGCAGGGAGCCCACACAATGGAAAAAAAATATTTGCCAACTGTATATCTGACAAAGGCCTAGCATCTAGGATCTACAAGAATCTCAAATGCGCCGAAAGGAAAAAAACAAACAGCCCCTTTAAAAAGTGGGCAAAAGACATAAATAGACACTTCTCAAAAGAAGATATATGGGCAGCCAACAGACACATGAAAAAGTGCTCAGCCTCACTCATCATCAGAGAAATGCACATCAAAACCACATTGAGATACCACCTAACCCTAGTAAGAATGGCCATCATTAACAAACAACAACAGATGCTGGCGAGGATGTGGAGAAAAAGGAACGCTGCTACACTGCTGGTGGAAATGTAACTAGTGCAACCTCTTTGGAAGACAGTGTGATGATTTCTGAAAGAACTGGAAATTGACTTACCATATGACTCAGCAATTTCCCTATTGGGAATATACCCAGAACAACTCAAATCATTCTACAAAAAAGATACCTGCACACATGTGTTTGTTGCAGCTCTGTTCACAATAGCAAAAACATGGAACCAACCATGTTGCCCATCGAAACTGAACTGGATAAAAAAAAATGGTACAGGCCAGGCTTGGTGGCTCAGCCTGTAATCCCAGCACTTTGGGAGACCGAGGTGAGTGGATTGCCTGAGTCCACGGGTTCAAGACCCACCTGGGCAACTTGGCGAGATCTCATCTCTACAATAAATCAAAAATTAGCACACACCTGTAGTTTCAGTTACTTGGAAGCCTGAGACAGAAGGATTGCCAGAGCCCAGCAGGTCGAGGCTGCGGTGGCCGGGAGCGTGCCACTGCACTCCAGTCTGGGTAACAGAGTAAGACTCCAACTCAAAAAAAAAAAGTGGTTCATATATACAATGGAATATTATGCAGCCATAAAGAAGGACAAATATATGAACTTCCCAGCAACTTGAATGGATTTGGAGTCGATCATACTCAGTGATCTATCACAGAAACAAAGAACAGAGTACCGTATGTTCTCATTCATAAGGGAACCCTGAACAATTATACTACTATAAGAAAGCGATAGGCAGTAATGGGAAACTGTCAGGGGAGGGAGGTGAGATTGGCAGTTGAGGGAAACTGCCAGCGGAGGGAGGGGCACACCTCATCAACAAGGGTACCTGCATAACCAACGTTTGTATACCTAACCCTGAATTGTACTCCACATCTTTATAATAAAGTAAATAAAAATTTAAAAAAATTCATCCAACAAACAGGCAGCAAACCTTTCAATAAGTTGGCCTAATAGAAAATTACTATTTCATCTTCTCTATCACAACTGATCATAAGTTAATGATAACCACCATCTAGACCTAACCCAACCCAATACAGGATGTATAACTAAAGATGAAATAAGAACTAATAATCACAGTAGGGTTAAACAATTAACCAATTATTCATTTTTGTTTGTTTAAATTGCCAAATACAATTATGGATTTAACGATTTCTTTTTTAGTTCAGACCGTTCATACCAAAAAGTGATTCAGGTTTTTAATTTTCACAAATATATTTTTGTTTCATAAAGTACTTCATAAAGTTCTTAATTTCATTAAGAAGTCAAAGTTAACCAACAATGGACTATGCAGATTAGTCAGAATCTAAGATTTAATTTTTTAAAATTGAGAAAACATAGACATAATTGGCAAATTTGCTAATTATTCTTCCCCTTAAAATCATTGGGCATGGCTGTATATACTTTTATATTACACATGTGGCATCAGCTAAACCAAGCAGAACACCTCCAGTTCCAAGAACTGTTTTTCAACTGCTGTCACCTGTCAAGTATAACTATGAAGAAAAAAGTGATTAATTCCGCAACTCACAGAGAAGTTTCTAGAACAAGATACAAGACTCCAGTAGCATTGTTTTATTTATTAACATAATTGAAACATTTTGCTGTTAAGACTCTTGTCCATGACTATTCTAGCAACAAAATTTTACTCAAAATATTTCACTGTGAAATGGTATTGCAACTTGAATGTAGTTTTTATTAGTGGATTGATTTCCATAGAGCAAATCTTACTCTTAAAATGGCAGATTATGTGACCAAAAAGTGATTTGAAAAAAGCTTCCCCCTCCCCATGCCAACCCTCAAGACCACGTGGGTCCAGTTGAACCCTCAGCCTTGGGACGAGGCCGAAGGTGGAGGGAAACAGCCGTAACTCACTCCTGACCCACCAGAACGGGCCATAGGACACTCGGAACTCACGCCACGAAGAAACCACATGAAGAGTCGAGTTCACTGGGCAGCTAGAAGAAGGTGCAGACTGGATGAATTTGGTGAAGCATGTCCAGCATCATGACAACAATCTAATCCTAAGGTGTCCTAACTGGATGAGCTACAAAATCGGTCCCTGTTTCCACCCTTGCCGTCTCACCTGTTGGACTTCCTGCAGTGAGGAGCCTTGGGAGAGATCCTGAGCTTTGCACATTCTACTGTTTTATTTTTGCATGACTGTTCTGAAGAGTAAAATATAATAACATGCTTCTCTCTGTTAGTCCTCTAAAAGTGTGTGTGTGTGTGTGTGTGTGTGTGTGTGTGTGTGTGTGTGTGTATGTGTGTGTGTGTTTGGGGAGAGTAGATTTAGGCTGTTAAAATACAAGTCGTTTCTCCCTGTAATTCTCTGCCTTTTGCTGTAGTTTGATTATTGTGTCTTGCTTTCTACTTAGTTCGAACAAGCTCTTTAATTCTTTCAGAGAAGCTGGAGCTTGAAACTAGAGAACGTCAGGGAAAGGCTGGCCAAGCAGAGATGGGGAGACCGGTGTCTCTAGAAACTCTAGCTCTGGGTTTCAGGCACTTCAGTAAGAGACTTTCCTCTCCTGTTCCTATGTACATTCAAGGAAGATGAAAGCAAGAAGGCTCTAGAGGCTACCTGGGGTTGGGGGCGTGTGACTGAGGTACCCACTAGCAGCACAGCCCTCCCAGAGGACCATTCCTTAAGGAGAGAGTCATTGACACAAAGCGTTTTCCTCTTGCCTGTTCTTACACTAACCACTTTGAGAAAAATGGGAGGCAGGGAATGAGGTTCCTTATTGTTAGGCAGGGAATGAGGCTCCTCATCCCTCTTGACACAATACTTCCAGCCCATGCCTTTCTTTGAGCCATGCCAGTCTTGGGCTGGCCTTTATAGGAAGGAGCAGGACCCCAGAGGTGAAGTCAGGCCTAGAGGTTATCCTGTAGGCACGGGGGCACCACTTTAGATTCTGAATCATCTTTCTGGAATTGCCTGTGGCCGGGTCACAGTCACATCATTCTGTCCTAGACTCAGAGACATGTTCTGACCTTCCCCTAGCAAATAAAGAGTAGGGTGGGGTGGGAATGAATGATTCTACCCCAAAAGAGATGCACCTTCCTTTAATTAAAGAAAGCTATTTTTAACACAACCCCTGTGATCCACCAAGATGTGATGTCCTCACTTCATTCCTAGAAATCTTCTTTTGAGTCAGTTCTTTTTCTTAGCCCGTTCCCACATGCATTCCCACCCTGCACTGAGCATGCAGGATCAGCCAGTTTTCTTCTAGTGGACTCTAGACTAAATGGGACTTGATCAGAGTAACAGAGTGGACCAAAGAAACAAAACAAAAAAAATTGGGTCTTTCCCAATCTACCCATGAGGATCCCCACAAGCTCTATCCATAACTCCAGATCCTTAAAAACACCATGTTTCCTCAAGAAACCAGCTGCAAAACCTGCCTGGCTTTTGAATGTTTTGCCTGGACAACGGCTCTTCCATCTTTAACTCTCCAGCAATAGTATCATCCAGAGCATTTCTGGGTCTTCTTTCACCTTGCACAAAGCAATCCTTTATTGGATTTTCTGGAATTTTCTCCAGACTCTTGAGATCTCTTTATTTCTAAGGGACACCTAGCCACGGCCTTCCTCACCATCACATTCTCCCCCAGGACTGGCATTTCCATGCTATGTGTGGGGAGCACCGGGAACAGATATAATTGAAGAGAAAGATGCCAGGGTAAGGATTGGGAAAAGTAGAAACCACATGGGAAAATGGAGGGGCAGAGACCCTGTGGCATGAGGGTTTGAGGGTAAGGGAAACGATATCCTCTTGTCAGGCTTTGCTTGGACTAGCCATTTAATCCCATGAACCTCTACTCCCTCATCTTTTAAAGAAGAGTGCTGGATTAACTGAACTCTAATTTTTTTTTTTTTTAGTTTATTATTTCATGATCCTTAGTCATACCCTGAGATCCAAGAATAGGATCTTCCTTCCTTCATCTGAAGACTACTTCCATAATCCAAGAGGAATAACAGCCCCTCAGGATGCTACTTGGCTATGGTTTTTTGTTGTTGTTGTTGTTGTTGAATCCAGTTCCTTTTCCTGGAGACAATTGAAGGATGTTGCAGATGTGAAATGTGTGTAAAGAATGTTGTCCCTGGTTTCATGTCCCACCAGGCCCTCCTGGGACACAGCTCATACTAGATTTTTATAAAAGTATCCTAACACTTGGGAACCATTACTCAAAGACATTCCAGAAACCTGAGAGCCAGAGACTAGATGAGAGACACAAAGCACAAGAGGGTAATTTTCTGAGGCCTTAACAATGAGGACAATCTCTCAAAACTGTCTGTAGGGGCAGAGAGGAAGGCAGAAAAATGGGGAGAAAAGGAATGAAACAGCTCAGTGGCTCCTGACCCCTCTCAGATCTCTCCTTTCCTGTGAGGCAGATTTCCTCAATGGCTCTCGGGGTTACTTGGCTCTGCAGGTCACAAAAAGCCCCAGAAACAAGACCAAAGTATCACTTCTCAAGAAGTTGACCTCTGGCGTCACCTGTGTGTCAGAGGGTGTGCTATCAGTTCCTATAGGGTACCAAATTGTTTTCTCCTAGGTCATTCTGGACTTACATCATTATAGAGATATTTCCCAGCCAAACAGGCAATATATAATTCCAATGAGCAAAGCTCTGTAGGGTTGAGTAAATTCCTAGCTTTTTTTTTTTTTTTTTTTTTTGATTCGGAGTTTCGCTTTTTTGATTCAGAGTCTCGCTGTTGCCCAGGTTGGAGTGCTGTGGCATGCTCACCACTGCAGTCTCCACCTGCTGGACTCAGGTTATCCTTCCACCTGAGCCTTCCAAGTAGCTGGAACCACAGGCATGCGCCACCACACCAAGCTAATTTTTTTATTTATTGTACAGACGAGGTCTTGCCAAGTTGCCCAGGCTGGTCTCGAACGCATGGGCTCAGGCAATCCTCTCACCTCGGCCTTCCAAAATGCTGGGATTATAGATGTGAGCAACTGTACCCAGTCCATAGCATGTTTTTTAAAGATATGGATTTGGCCTTATCTGTATGATTCTTCTCGATGCAAGAGCATGTCTAAGCAGGGTCTCCAAGGGTTTAGATGGTGTCCTGAGGGCTCCTTGGAAATGCCAGGCTGGCAGGGAATCCACACTGTGCCATCCGCCACAGCCCAGATTAGTAAATGAACAGATGCCACCAGGAAATGAGGATGTACTAGCCCTGTGTGATCATAAACCCAGAGCATCAGGAAAATGGCCTTTTGAAACTAAAGAAATGGACTCAAATTCTTCTGAGAACTCTGCTATTCCCAGACTTGCCTCCCAGGTTTCAGAACCTGAAAGTCTCACTCCTGACCAAAGGCTGCGGCTGTTGCTGCTATTGTTGTGGGGTGTGTGTGTGTGTGTGTGTGTGTGTGTGCTGGAGAAGTGGAGGTGGCCTGGCCTTCTCTACTGAGTGTGGCCCCCATGCACATAACTGAGTGCTGAGGCTGGCTACAGTGTCCTATCAAAAGGGAGCGCACCAAGACTCCAGACATAAAGACACTGATTTCATCCAAGTTCTACAAGGAATGAACAAAGAAAAATAAACAAAGAAAAGAAAAATAGCCCTTTACAAAGGGTTACTTGTAAAGTAAAGGGCAAGTAAAGGGCATGCTGGGAAGGCGAGAGCCAGAGCCGCCTCCCCAGAGCATGCTGGGAGGATGGGCACCAGAGCCGCCTCTCGAGAGCATGCTGGGAGACGGACACCAGTACATCTCCGAGGACTGCACTTCCCCCAATCCCGCCCCTATCCCCTCACCCACCCCCAACCCAGAGACTAGAGGAAAGTTTGTCCAAAGATGACTGTGGAATAGAGAGTGCCATGGTTCTCTGCAGGTCCCCCACACTGTGGGGGCTTAAGTCAGCGAGTGGGGAAAATGGCCTTTTGAAACGAAAGAATGGACTCGAATTCAGTCAAGATGAGGAGATGGAGAAACAGAGAGGCAGGAGAGAAACAGGGGGAATGACAGAGACTGGAGGGGCCAGTGCGTTGGCAGAGGACGAGGGGAGAGTGGAGCAGAGGGCTGTGTGGCTGCTAGCCGGAGGCATTGATGTACAGCTGGCTCTTGAGAATGTAGTCGATGACTGGCTGGGACAGGTAATCCACAACATGGCCGTCCCCATGCTGCAGGGCCAGCCTGTACAGAAAGAATTGGAAATCAGATGGACATCCATATCTGAAGCAAGGCAAGAGGACTGGCCTGCCCACTGTCTTTCAGAGAAAGGAAGGGGGTATTCTGGGGTCTCCCAACATCCCATGACTAGCCTTTACTTAGCTTAAGTAAATGATACTTGTGTTAGAAGACAGCCCTCCTCCTCTACAATTTCTCTCTGACCCTGGTGGCACTATTCATCCTGACTGCCACTGCGTAGCTGAGATACCTTAGGCAAGTTATTTAAGCCCTTCTGTTCTTTAGTTTTCTTCTCTGTAAAATGAGGATAATATCTGGGCCAATCCCATTTAGTTATTTTTATTTTATTTTATTTAATAAAATAAAAGCCCAGACTGGAGTGCAGTGGCACACTCCCGGTCACCGCAGCCTCAACCTGCTGGGCTCAAGTGATCCTTTCACCTCAGCCTTCCAAGTAGCTGGAACTACAGGCGCGTGCTACCACGACCAGCTAATTTTTTATTTATTGTAGAGGTGAGGGCTCGCCAAGTTGCCCAGGCGGGTCTCGAACCCGCGGACTCAGGCAATTCACTCACCTCAGCCTCCCAAAGCATGGGATTACAGGCTGAGACACTGGGCCCGGCTTGCCCATTTTTTAATTGAGTAGTTTGGGTTCATTGCTGTTGAGTTGTATAAGTTCTTTATAAATCTTGGTTATTAATCTCTTATCTGATATATGGTTTGCAGATATTTTTTCTTAATCCATAGGTGGCCTTTTCATTTTGTTGATTGTTTCCTTTGCTGTGCAGAAGCTTTCTAGTTTGATGTAGTCCGGTTTATTTAGTTGTGCTTTTGTAGACTGAGCTTTTGGTGTGGTATCCAAGAAATAATAGCCAAGGCCAATGTCAAGGAACTTTTCCCCTATGTTTTCTACTAAGAGTTTATAGTTTCAGGTCTTCCATTGATGTCTTTTATCCATTTTTGGAGTTGATTTTTGTGTGTGGTGTAAGTTAAGGGTTTAATTTCATTCTTCTGCATGTGGAAATCCAGTTTTCCCAGCACCGTGTATTGAAGAGACTATTCCTTCTCTCTTGTCTTTTTGGTGCCATTGTCAAAAATTAGTTGACCATATGTTTGAATCTATTTCTGGGCTCTCTGGTCTATGTGTCTGTTTTTATGCCAGTACCATACTGTTTTTGTAACTGCAGAGCCAGTTCAATCTGGTTCAACTTTGTCAGCAATCAACTGTAACAAAATACTGAGTTATTTTTCAGAGCAATGGGTCTCCAGGCTGTAGGTCATATAATCTGAGCGTGCTCAGAAAAACCAAGAATGCCCAATTTATGACCCTGGAGCCAGCCAAAATGAAAAATTCAACCACAGGAAGAACCTAAGTACCTGGATCAAGGAACAGAGACCAAATTAAGAAGTGAACTGTGCCCTACTTTGTTGCAGGACAGACTTAAGGGTCAAAGACCCATCACTGCCTCTTTGCATGACCCAATCTGATCACACCTTGTTGCATTTCTTAACTCTTTCATTGTTATTCTCTGCCTATAAAACCTGCTTCCAGACCCCAGCTAGGGAGACAGACTTGAGCTTGCTCCTGTCTCTTTGCTAGTGGACTCACAATAAAATTTTTTCTTTTCTCAGAAGCTGGAGACATAGTGTTGGCATCTATGCATGTTGAGAAGCAAGCCTATTGCTTGGTAGCATATTGATTACTATAACTTTGTAGTATAATGTAAAATCAGGAAGTGTGATGCTTCCAACATTGTTTTTTCTTAGAACTGCTTTGGCTATTCCGGGTTTTCACAGTTTTATACATGCTTTAGGATTGATTTTCCTAATTTCTTTCTTTCTTTTTTTTTGGTAAAGAATGAATGCCACTGGGATTTTGATAAATCTATACATTGCTTTAGGTAATACAGATATGCTAACAATATTAATTTTTCTGATCCATTAGCATGGAATATGTATACATTTTACACTTATGTCCCTTTCAATTTCTTTTATCAATGTTTTATAGTCATCATTGTACAGGTCTTTCACCTCCTTGGTTACATTTATTTCTAATTTTTAAAATATTCTATCATAAATGAGATTGTTTTCTGGATTTGTTTGGCCAGATCATTATTTGTATGCAGAATTTGTGTGATGATTTTGTATCCTGAAATTTTACTGAATTAATTTATTAGGTTTAATCGTTTTTTTGAGACGTCTTTGGGTTTTCCACATATAGGGTCATGTCTGCAAACAGAGATAACTTTGTTTCTTCCTTTCCAATTTTGATGAATGTATTTATTTTTCTTGTTTAATTGTTCTTGATAGTACTTCTAGTACTATGTTGAATGGAGGTGGTGAGATTGGACATCCGTGTCTTATACCTCCACCTCCTTTATTAGAGGAAAAACTTTCAGTTTCTCCCCATTGATTATAATGTTAGCTGTGTATGTGTGTGTGTGTGTGTGTGTGTGTGTGTGTGTGTGTGTGTGTGTGTGTGTTTTCAAATGGCATGGCCTTTATTATGTTGAGAAACTTTCCTTCTATATCTAAACTGCTAAAATTTTTTTTATCAAGAAGGGATGTTGAAATTTGTCAAATGACTTATCTGCATCAACTGATATGGTTTGTGCTTTTGTCTTTCAGTCTGCTAATGTGATGTATCACATTGATTGATGTGTGCATATTAAACCAACCTTGCACGCCAGGGATGAATCCCACTTGATTATGATGTATAATATTTATGATATGTTGTTGAATTTGTTTTGATAATATTTTATGGAGGATTTTTTTTTAATGTGGTGGCATAAGCATGTCTCATCATAGCCTTGACCTCTTGGGCTCAGGTAATCCTTTCGCCTCAGGGACTACAGGTATACACTACTATACTCGGCTATCTTCTGTAATTTTTTTAGGGACAATTTCTTGCTATGTTATCCAGACTGGTCTTGAACTCCTGGGCTCAAGTAATCCTCTCACCTCAGCCTCCGTAATTGCTGGGATTACAGGCGTGAGCCACTGTGTCCAGCCAAGGATTTTTGTATCAATGTTCCTCAGAAATATTGGCCTGCAGTTCTCTTTTCTTGTGATGTCTTTGTCTGGTTTACGTATCGAGGTGATACTGGCCTCATGAAATGTGTTTAAAAGTGTTTGCTCTGTTTTTTGGAAGAATTTAACAAGTACTAATTCTCTAAAAGTTTGTTAGAATTCATTTGTTAGGCCATCTGTTCCTGGGCTTTTCTTTGTTGGGAGGTTTTTTGTTTTTTGTGTTTTGAGTTGGAGTCTCACTGTCACCCAGACTGGAGTGCAGTGGCATGCTCCAAGCCACTGCAGCCTTGACCTGCTGGGCTCTGGTGATCCTTCCGCCTCAGCCTTCCAAGTAGCCGGAATTATAGGCATGCGCTACCACGCCCGGCTGATTTTTTGATTTATTGTAGAGATGAGGTTTCGCTGCCCAGGCGGGTCTCGAACCCGCGGGCTCAGGCAATCCACTCGCCTCAGCCTCCCAAAGGCGCGGGATTACAGTCTGAGCCACTGAGCCCGGCGGTTGCATTTTTTTTTCAGTGATTTATCCATTTTCTATGTTATCAAATTTGTTGACATATAATTGTTCATAATAGTCCCTTATGATATTTTTTGTGTCTGAAGCATGTGTTTTATGTCTACACTTTAACTTATGATTATTTGAGTCTTTTCTCTTTTTTTCCTAGTCCAAGTAAGGGTTTTGTTTTTTTTCAAAAAAACTTTTAGTTTAACTAATTTTTCTGTGGTTTACAATTCCATATTTGATTTATTTGTGCTCTGATCTTTATTATTTTCTTCCTTCTGTTAACTTTGGATTTTGTTTCTTCTCCTTTTTCTAGCTACTTGAGGAATAATGTTAGGCTATTTATTTGAGTTCTCGTTTAATGTAGGCTTTTAGTGCTATAAACTTTCCCCTTAGAATTGGATTCTTATTTCATTCCTTTGGGTCCCTCTGCAAGCTGGTCTCATGAACATGAATCTTCTGGAAGTTCTTTGATTGACCACATCTCTTCCCTCCTAAAGGAACCCATGGAAAGAAGGCACCAACAGGTATGAAGGACTCCAGTGAAACACCTTGGTTCCTGCACAGTTTTTCTCCAGCCTTGGTCTGGTTGCTTCATGTTCTTTCCTCATATGATAGTCTTGGGAATGTCAGGCCCCAACAGCTATTTGTAAAAAGCCATATACTCCTTCAGCTATCGAGATTCTAAAAGCCCTGCCTTTGAGACATCACTGGAGACTAGCTCCCTTCTTTTCAGTGCTTACACGAACCTCACCTTGCAAGTTAGATCCCTAAGTGCCTCCCTGAATAGTAAAGCTTCCTGAAAAAGTGACTATACGTGTAGTTTCCAAATACCAATCCCAACTGCATTAGACTTGCCCAGGAAGCAGATCCATAATCCAAACCCTTACAAATTCTTATGGGACCGAGTGAGATACAGGAATTTGTACTGTCATGCAACTCTTCATGATGATGCTAGTGTGCAGCCATGTTTGGAACCACAGTTTTCTTCCCCCTCTCCCCTTGATGCTATTGACCTTGGAATGTTAATGCTATTCTTGCAAGTGTCACTGTAACTGCCTTCCAGGAAAGAAATCCAGTGAACTTTTTAAAGTCCTGGGCTCATTAGATTTCTCTGAAACATGTGACTCAGATGACAACGCTCTACATCTTTGTACCCTCTCCTACCTTGATTTTTGGGCCACCACTACTGATGGTTTCTGACTACTCCTTTGCCTTCTTTTAAATGCTGAAATGTTTGCAGTGTTCCCACAGTCTTCTCTTCTTGACGCTCTGTGCCCTCATTCACGCCCAGAATTTTAACTGACACTGACATGCCCATGGCTTTCAGTTTTACACTTCCAGACCTCTAGATTCTATTTATCTCATCATTCTACTGGACCATTTCTCCTTGGGATTTGTGGTGGAAACTATTAACTGGCCCCTAGTGTCCATTCTCTCCTTTAGTTTAGTAAGAGAGCCTCCTAGATTTTATCTGGGCGTATGGCTGCCAAGCTATAAAGTCTATTTCCCAGTTTCCCTCCATCCCTGAGTCAATAGAATGCAAAGAGCAGTGATATGCACAACTTTGGGTCATCTTCTTACCATGGACTTCACCTTGTCTTTCCCACCGGCTGAGACAAATAGTCATTGCAGCAGCTGTGGGCCCAGAGATGGAAGCTTCATATGAACGAGACCATAGATTCGATTCCTTTTGATTTCAGGAACAGGAAACTAAATATCTAACCTAATTAAAATTCTTAAGGTTGGAACCTTTTTGTTGTGGCAACTTAGCTCATACCCTTACTACCACATTATTCCTTGAGCACCTCAAACTAAAAAGTCCACAACTAAAAGCATCCTCTTCTCCCCTTCAACCAGCTAAGATGAGCTAATGCCTCCTCCCCCCCTTAAAGTAAATGCCTGGGAACAAAGAAATGAGGTTCAAACGAGAGGATGAACACTGGGACGGCAGATACCTGCCTAAATCCGAGGGTCGCCTTGACTGGGGGAAGTTGTGTGGAGACATAAGACTCTTTGGTCAAAGACTCTTTGGGTCATTTGTCAAACGTACCTGCTCTTGGTTGAACTGACAACAGACATGGGATGGTTGATGTCATCCTTCACCACCATGATGTTGTTCTGAGGACAGAGCAGAGTGAGTAGGTTTCCAGTCCCTCACGCTAAATTCCTCCAGCCTCCCCAGACTCTCCGAGAAGGGCCACACCACAGAGACACACCAGCAGGGAGTTGGAAGACTCACTTTGTATTTGCGAAGTATTGAGGAGTGATTCATGATTCGGTCTGTGTCAGCTGCGTCCCGGGGCACCACCACAATCCCAAAGTCCCCAACAATCACCTCCATCTGAAGAAACAGAGAGAGCCCTTTGGTGACACCATGACCCCAAACTCCTGCCAAGTGACTACTTAGAGGGTGGAGCTGGCTTCCATTCTTCCACAAGGAACCCCAGGCTTCCGTCCCAAACTTGCCTGCTCAGCCCCCTCAGTCAGCTCCTTCAAGTAATAGCCCGGAACAATGACAGCAGAATGGCTGGAAACCTTGCCTGGCACACAAGTCTGAATGAATAAATGTACTCTTGCATGTCTGGGCAAGATTTCTCCAATTCCTGAGGCTCCTTGTTGAGCTCATAATGTTGCTGAATAACAAGAATGACATAGAGTCTTTACCTGGTAGATATTCTCATGACTGAAACAGATCCCACCATCCAGCAAGCATATATCAGCGCTCAGTGGAATGTCACGAGAGGGACATCACAAGAGGGACTGAAACTCTCCCCTGGCTCACCCACAGGAAAGCTGCTGTGGGACTCAAGGGTGGCCAAGAGCAGGGAAGTGTCTGGAATGAATTCATGTGCGCCCAGTGATAGGTTGATGATGATGATTATTGGGGTCATTTCTGAGATCAGCCTTTGGCGGAAACTCAGTGCCATAATGAAAAATGAAACCTTCTTTTCATTAAAAAAAAAAAAAAACCATCTTATTTTCTTTTTCTAATTATAGATGCAATATAAACTCAGAAAATCTGGGGGGGGGGGGACCAGAACTCAAAACACAACTACACAATCCAGCTAACGACTGTTAACATTTTAGTGTATTTCTGTCCAGTGTTTTTCTGTCTATAAATAGGTGTATATATCCACGACTGGATTAAACTGAAAAGTAAACTTTCCTGCATCTTTCAATTAGCATTACATTGTGAACATTTTCTCATATCATTAAAAATTATTTGAAAACATAAGTTAACAATCTGTATATTTTACACCATGATGTATTAAACTAGTCCTATATTGTGGAAAGTGTACAGTTATTGCTAATTTTTTTTGCAATTAGACATGACACTGATGAAGATCTTTATGCATAAATCGTTTATCACATCTCTGCTTATTTCCTTAGGATAAGAAATAAAATAATTGAATAAAAGGATATGAACTGGACATATTTCAAGCTCTTGAGACATATTATCAAGTTGCTTTCTGGAAATTGGTGCCAATTTTTATCTTCAAAGAACCTGAAAGTTATGGCATTTAACGGACTTGGATCTAGCCTGGGCATATTACTCTCTAGATCTTGCCAACTATGGATCCCAGACTGGGGGCAGGGAGGAGGAGGCAGGCTGCTTCTAAGCAACACAGCTAGCTCACTGAGCAAGACCTGCCTGGGGGCCAAGGAACCCAGATTGTTTCCCCACAATTTTCCAAACAAGATACAAGACAAATTCTCCAAACAGATATACTGGAGCACTGTGGCCCTTTATTCTCTACCAGAGGATTTCTGCATCAGTAGAATTCCATTTTCAAGCCTGATTTGTTGGTTTTGTGTGTGTGTGTGTGTGTGTGTGTGTGTGTGTGCGCGCGCGTGCATGTGCCCGCACATATATCCTAAATATTTCTGTCCACCTTTACTCTGCTTCTCCCATTGCTTACAACTAGACCTAGAATTGCAGCTGGAACTCTGATGCTGCTGAAATAAGATTGGCAGAAGGTGCCCTCGGGGGACAGTTGTGGAGAGAGGTTAAAATGCAGGTGCAGGACACCAGAGCCCCCATTTGTTTATTTTATTTTTTATTTTTATTTTATTTATTTATTTTTTAATTATAAAGATGTGGGGTACAGTTCAGGGTTAGGCATACAAATGTTGGTTATGCAGGTACCCTTGTTGATGAGGTGTGCCCCTCTCTCCCCTAGCAGTTTCCTTCAACTGCCAATCCCACCCCCCTCCACGGCAGTTTCCCACTACTGCCAATCCCTTTCTTATAGTATTATAATTGTTCAAGGTCCACTTATGAGTGAGAACATATGGTACTCTGTTCTTTGTTTCTGTGACAGATCAATGAGTATGATTGACTCTAAATCCATTCAAGTTGCTGCGAAGTCCATTATGTCTGTCCTTCTTTATGGCTGCATAATATTCCATCGTGTATATGTACCACATTTTGTTTTTTTGAGTTGGAGTCTCACTCTGTCGCCTAGACTGGAGTGCAGTGGCCGCTCCCGGCCACCACAGTCTCGACCTGCTGGGCTCCAGCGATCCTTCCACGTCAGCCTTCCAAGGAGCCGGAACTACAGGCGCGCGCAACCACGCCCGGCTAATTTTGGATTTATTGTAGAGAGGAGGTCTCGCCAAGTTGCCTGGGTGGGTCTCGAACCCGCGGGCTCTGGCAATCCACTCGCCTCGGCCTCCCAAAGTGCTAGGATTACAGGCTGAGCCACCAAGCCCGGCCTGTACCACATTCTTTTTACCAGTCCAGTTTTGAAGGGCAACATGGTTGGTTCCATGTTTTTGCTATTGCGAATAGAGCTGCAACAAACATACGTGTGCAGGTATCTTTTCATAAATGATTTGCAGAGCCCCCATTTGGATCATGTTATTTGGAAGATACAGAGCACCGTACAACATGCTGCATCTATTAGTGGTGTTCAGATCAGGTAAACTGGCACCAAGGTTTTTACCCTATAAACCAGGAATGTTAGGGAGAGGCAGGACAGGGTGTTAGCATTAGAGCCAACTGCTTCCACCAGAGCTTTTAGAACACAGCTCTGGGATTCACTACTCAGACACTGGCTCTCAAACTTGGCTGCACATCAGAATCACTTGAGGGACTTTTAAAAATTCTAAAGCCCAGTTTACACATAAGATCAATTAAACCAGAATCTCTAGGAATAGAACACAGTCATCAGTTTTTTAAATTCCCCAGGTGATTCTAATATGCAACCAAGTTTGAAAGCCAGTGGCCTAAGTACTAAATTAAAACTTCAGGGAAGCCAGGCTCAGTGGCTCAGCCTGTAATCCCGCACCTTTGGGAGGCTGAGGTGAGTGGATTGCCTGAGACCGCGGGTTCGAGACCCGTCTGGGCAGTGAGACCTCATCTCTACAATAAATCAAAAAATCAGCCGGGTGTGGTAGCGCGTGCCTGTAATTCCGGCTACTTGGAAGTCTGAGGCGGAAGGATTGCCAGAGCCCAGCAGGTCGAGGCTGTGGTGGCCAGAAGCGGCCACTGCACTCCAGTCTGGGTGACAGAGTGAGACTCCAACTCACAAAAAACAGGAACAAAAACAAAACAAAAAAACTCCAGGAAAAGGCCGGGTACAGTGGCTCACACCTATAATCCCAGCACTTTGGGAGGCCGAGGTGAGAGAATTGCATGAGCCCATGGGTTTGAGACCAGCCTGGGCAACTTGGTGAGACCTCATCTCTACAATAAATCAAGAAAAATTAGCTGGGCATGGTGGCACATGCCTGAAGTTCCAGCTACTTGGAAGGCTGAGGCAGAAGGATCATTTGAGCCCAACAGGTTGAGGCTGCGGTGGCTGTGAGCGTACCACTGCACTCCGCCTGGGCAACAGTGACACTTCCACTAAAAAAAAAAAAAAAAAAAACTCCAGGAAAATTGGTATGACAGAGAAAGAGATAGAAAAGAGAAGGGAGGAGAGGGGAGGGGAGAAGATGACAGGGGAAGGGAGAAGATGACAAGAGAGGGAAAGGGAAGAGGGGAGGGAAGGGAGGTGAGGGAAGAGAGACTATCTAAGCAGGTTTACATGGAGATTCCTAAACTGCCTGGTTATGTAGGTGTTTTGTGGCAGTCTGGTGTAGGTTGCATAGCGGGGGACCTGCCTTCAAATTGAATCTGAGAACTTGATGGATGTTTCATACAGGGTGTGTGTAATAATGAGGCTATTTGAAGTGAGCGCTCTAGATTAAAGCATGAAAATACTGACTCAGAATGGCATTCGGTCCTCCTGGGGCACTCGCCCAGTGGGGGACATCAGTGCAGCGACTGCTCTCCACTCAGAACCTAGTGATCTGAGCACCCAGTCAATAACTGTGCCAGGCTGCTCAGTGGGTGGCAAGCAGATGGAGACCTTCCTGCTTGAGATGTTTTCGTTTTCCAGAAACAGATGACAGACTTGATCCTGGGAATCCCAGATGGGTTGAGGGAGACAGGGTCCACGAGCCAAGACCCACACAGCCTTAGGGCATCCCTGCAGGGGTTCAAGCCAGAGACCGGATATGCAATCTACTCTTTTGGCCAGAGAGTAGGGCGGGGGCTTGAATTTCAGGAGGGTATTTGTCTGTGTGTGTATGTTTGGGGGTGGGAGGGACTAGGTGCTAGAGTTGGTGAGAAATGCCCTCAGTCCCACCAGTACCCATCGCCCTCCAGGGTCTTGGCAGTGCTCCCCCAAGCTCCCTCCTTGTGTTCACCAGGCCTCCAGATAGCGCCCTCTCCTGGCTGTCCTCCTACATTTCTGACTGTTCCCTTTTGGTATCCCTGTGCTAATTCCTCCACTTCTCTCTGACCTTAAGCCACTGGAGGTCCCCAGACCTCAGTCCTTGTACCTCTCTTCTATCTACACTCACACCCTTAATGACTTCATTCCATTTCAAAATTTAAAGACACATAAACTTCCTTCTTGAACTGCAGACTCATATATCAGCTGCTTTCTCAATATGCTCACTGGATGGAGCATCTCAAACTTAATATGGTCTGGGCGCAGTGGCTCAAGCCTGTAATCCCAGCACCCTGGGAGACCGAGGTGAGAGGACTGCCTGAGCCCACGGGTTCGAGAACAACCTGGGAAACTTAAATGAAAAAAATTAGCCTGGTGTGGTAGTGTGCGCCTGTAGCTTTGGCTACTTGGAAGGCGGAGGTGGAAGGATCACCTGAGCCCAGCAGGTCAATGCTGGGGTGGCCATGAGTGTGCCATTGCACTCCAGCCTGGGTGATGGAGTGAGACTCCAACTCAAAAAAAACCAAAAAACAACTTAATATGAATATGCCCACGAGCCCCTGGACCTGTTAACATACATACCCCCTCCAAAGAAATGCTTTTTCTATAGTCTATTTTT